AGCGCGGCGCTGGAGGGGAAGGGGCGGGCGCTCGGGCGGCTCGCGGTAGGCCGCGCCTCGGCGGCCCTCGCCCCTCACGGGGCCCACGGGGCGGCGCGGCCGGGCGACCCGCGGGGCGGCGCCCGGAGCCCGGGGCGCGCCGGCCGGCGGCAGCACAGACCCGGCCCGGGGTCGCGGGCCCGGCCCCCCGCCCCCCATTCCGTCCTCGCCCAGAGGCGCGGTCAGACTGCCCAGCGTCGGGGAGCGCCTCGTGCCGCCCCCCACCCCCCGGGGGGGACCGCAGGAGACCCCCGTCAGGACGTGGGCGCCCCGCGGCTTACCCGGGAGCAGCGAGGGAACGGAGAAGGGGATCGCAGCCGAGGACCGGAGCCGGCACTGCCCACCGCCGCCGCCGCACCGCCTCACATTCAAACCCCGGCAAAATGGCGCGGCGGCGAGACTGCGGGCGGGGCGCATGCGCGGCCGCGGCCCCGGCCGGGGGCGGGGCCAGAGGCGCTCCGGCCACGCCCTCTTCCGAACGTCCAATCGCGGCCCCGCTCTGTGGGTGGCGCTGACGTCACAAGCGCCCCTGCCCGGGCTCAGGGGGACGTTCTCCGGCGCACGCTCGGCAGTCCGCGTTTGCCCGCTGGCGAGCGGCGGGGCCGGGTCCGTTCGGGTCTGGCTTTGCCGTCCGGCGCGGGGGTCGATCTTAGGTGGCTGTTGAACGAAGCGTAGCCGAAGAGAAGTTCCTGCCCTTCAACGGGATTGTTTTTTCATTAAATTATTGGGGAGTGGGGGCACTGCGGGCGGTGCTCTGGACTCACTCCGGACTGGGGGGTGGTTCGAGGCACCCTGGGTGGTGCTGGGGATGGCACAGGGTTGGCAGCGTGCAAAGCAAGCGCCGTAACGCCTGTACTACCTCTCCAGCCTGAAACTGTGTTTTAGGGGGAGCTAAAGACGTTAACAGAGGCCCAAGAGATGGGGTCAAAGATGATAGGGTATTTGCATGCAGGCCCAGATGGCTCCCTCCCCTCCCCTCCCTTGCCCCCCTCCTCCCCTTCACCACCTCCCCTTTTTTCACTTCCTCTAGCCTCTCCTTCCCTTCATCACCTCTCTGCCCCTCCGCTCCCCTTTCCTCCCTCTCCTCTCTCCTCCCCCTCTTCTCTCCTCTCCTCCCCTCTCCTTTCCTCCCTGCCCCTCTCCTTTCATCTCTCGCCCTACCTCCAACTGATGACCTGGGAGTTCTGGCAGGGAATAGAGATCTTCAAACCAGGACCCCCAGGAGACACCAGGACCTCCAGGAGACACCAGGAGCCCCAAGAGACACCAGGAAACCCAAGAGACACCAGGAACCCCAAGAGACTCCAGGAACCCCAAGAGACACTAGGACCCCCAAAAGACACCAGAAACCCCAATAGACACCAGGAACCCCAAGAGACACCAGGAACCCCAAAAGACACCAAGACCCCAAGAGACACTAGGACCTCCAAGAGACACCAGGACGCCCAAGAGATACCAGGACCCCCAAGAGACACCAGGACCCCCAAGAGACACCAGGACCCCCAAGAGACACCAGGACCCCCAAGAGACACCAGGACCCCCAAGAGACCTTTGGTACTTTGAGGACTGAGCATCTTCCTCAACCCTCTCAGAGGCCAGCAGGTGTTGGGCAGCTTTCTAGCCCCCGGAGGGCTGCAGGGGAAGTGGCAGCTGTGCCTCCCAAAGTTGGCCAGGCAAAGTGGGAATGAAATAGCTGCTCAAGCAGGCCTCGGAACGGACCCAATTCCCTCAAGTTTCTGAGCTGGCCCCTGGCAACCGAGGCCTGCAGTGGGTCTAAGGTGCTCAGACGCAGGACAGCCGTGGGCACTGTCCCAGCTGGGAGACCACAGCAGGTCACAGTAGATGGCCGCGAGCCTGAGGACAGGGGGCTGTGGTCCAGGGAAGACAGTCCTGGTACACTGCCTCGTTGAGCCTCTCTCAATCCCAGTTTCCCCATCGAGAAAATGCAAGTCCAATACTGCTGCACAGGGTGGAAGTCTCCTATCTGCATAAGCACTGTAGCACTGTCCTCCCATTGTTCAGCGATTTGCTCGAGCTGGCCCAGTAACGTTTCCATTGTGAGACTTGTTCTTACTGTGTTTGGCACATCGAATACATCACGGGTAGCTTGCCAGGCTTTGTTGTGCAGGCAAAATACTCTCCGTAGTTTGCCGGGCTCTCTGAGAGGGGTGGAGAAATCGAACTCGGGTTGGCTGTGTTGGCCGCGTGCAAGGCAAACACCCTACCCACTGTGTTATCGCTTCAGCTCCCCATCTGCATAGCACTTGCTAAAGGTGTCAGGAGTGCAGTAGGAAACCTCAGGCTAGTTCTTTGTCTCATTTATTTACTTCGGGCCTCCCTAGCAATGCTGGGGCAGACCATATGGCACTGACATGCAAAGTATGCACTCCAGTCCTCTGAACCATCTCCTTGCCTTACGTGTTTATTTATTTGCTTTTCGGGTCACACCCGGCAATGCACAGGAGATACTCCTGGCTCTGCACTCAGGAATTACTCCTGGCGGTGCTCAGGGGACTGTATGGGAGGCTGGGGATTGAATCTGGGTCAGCTGCATGCAAGGCAAACACCCTACCCACTGTGCTATTGCTCCAGCCCCTTTAATTGTTTTTTAATTTAATGCCTGTTTTTAAAAAAATGATATTAAGGGGCTAGACTTAAGTACACACGTTAAGGTGCTTGCCTTGCATTGAGCCCACGGCAATTTGATTCCTCACACTGAGAACTTCCAGTGCTGAGCATGGAGTCAGTAGTAGCTCTTGATACCACCCAGTGAGGCCCCCAAACCAAAAAAAATTTCTTAATGATGCTGGGGATCTAACTTGAGTCAGCTGTGTGCGAGGCAAACCCCCTCCCCACTGCACTACGGCTCTGGCCCCAAGCTGCTGTGATTTTCCCCACAAGTCTCCCCACTGAAAGGTGCTTGGTTCTTACCTACCCATAGCACTCTGGAGAAGAAAATCAATGTCTTTTATTTAGGTGGCGTCTCCCAGGAGATGCTCAGGGTACTTGGAGACACTCATGGCCATTTTAATTTTATTTATTTTTTAGAAGCCAACTTATTTATTTTCTTTTTGGGTCACACTCAGCAATGCTCAGGGGTTCCTCTTGGCTTTGCACAGGAATTACTCCTGGCGGTGCTTGGGGGACCATATGGGATGCCGGGGATCGAACCTGGGTTGGATGCGTGCAAGGTAAACACCCTACCTGCTGTGCTATCGCTACGGCCTCATGGCCATTTTTAACTGTGTCAGTGGTTGGTTCAGTGAGAGGGTCCAATGACATTGTACTGTTTAGGGTCTGTGATACCAGGGACCACTTAGGGTCACCTTGGCAGAGCCCAGGAGTCACAGGTCTACACTGGGCCAGGGTCAGTTGCATGCAAAGGTCTCTGACTAACCCCTGTGCTCTCTGATTCCCAATATGCTAGGTTTTAAAGTTCAATTTTTTTCCTTTTTTTTTTTTTGCTTGTTATGGGTCACTCCCAGCAATGCCTAGGGGTTACTCCTGGCTCATGCACTCAGGAATTACTCCTGGCGGTGATTGGGGACCATATGGGATGCTGGGAATCGAACCTGGGTTGGCCACGTGAGCAAGGCAAACACCTTACTCGCTGTGCTATCGCTCCAGCCCCTAAAGTTCAAATTTACTTAAGCTAAGTACACCAGGACACAGGTTTTGTTTTTGGTGGGGTTGGGGGAAGGGCGCACATCAAGCAATGCTCTGGGCCTACTCCTGGCTCTATACTCATCAGGGATCTCTCCTCATGGGCTTGTGGGATCATATAGGGGCCACTGGGAGTCATAATCTGGGTCACCCATTGCAAGGCAAGCACCCAACCCACTGTACTATCGCTCCGGTTCCAGAAAAATGTGTTTTTAAATTATGATTATCAGTAAGCAATTCTTATATTTTAGGTACCTAAGTCATGTAAAAATGTCTTAGGGAAAAGGGGGCACAAGCACAAAAAATTTTTTTTGGTTTGTTTTTGGGTCACACCCAGCTCAGGATTTATTGCTAGCTCTGCACTCAGGGATCACTCCTGCTGGCCATGGGTATCGAACCAGGATTGGCTACGTGCAAGGCAAATGCTTTAAGTCCTGTCTCCAGCTGCCAAGTCAGGTCTTCTTGAACTTTTTTCACTTGTGGGGCCTGAGAAATGGTACCGTGGGGATGGTACTTGCCTTGCCTGCATGTAGCTGACATGAATTTGATGCCCTAAATGATCCCCTGAGGCCACCGTGAGTGATCCCTGAGTACAGAGTCAGGAGTAGGCCCTGAGTACAAAACTAAAATTCATTTATTTAAACGTTTCCATTTGGCCCCAGACTTCCCCCACGGAAGAAAAAACAAGAAGGTGTGGTTCAGGGCCCTGGCTGGTAAACCTCAGGTCACAAACCTGGTCCCCAGTGTGGCCCCGTATACCCAGTGTGAGTTTGTTATTGCTGGTTAGAAACCCCAGCACCCCAGCCAGGGTTTGTGTATAGCACAGCCGAAGAGGTGAGACTCCCGGCAGTGCCCATGTGAGACCACAGCACCCTGTAGTGAGCACTATAACAAGAAACTGCACGAACACCACAAGCAGAGTTAGAACCTAGCACGCCCATGCACAGGCCAAGGAGAGCAGTGCAGGCGAGCACCATGGCAGAGTGTGAGTACTGACCCTGATGGCCACCCTCTGTTGGGACCTCAGTTACATGTGCGAAAGCCATGGCCAGGTTTATCTGTGACCCTGGTCATCACAATAAGAATAATGACAATAGGGGGCTGGAGTGATAGCACAGAGGGAGGGTGTTTTGCCTTGCACGCGGCCAACCCAGATTCTATTCCCAGCATCCCACAGGGTCCCCCAAGCACTGCCAGGAATGACTTCTGAGTAACCCCTAAGCATCGCTGAGTGTAACCCAAAAAGCAAAAAAAAAAAAAATAGCTTTATTCACAAATGAAGGACAGAGAGAGGGAAGTACAGCCTGAATTTTTAAAACTTTATTGATTTATCACTTGATTAAAGCATGGGGTATTTTAACAGTATTATACATAATGTTTTACATAGAAAACTTTACATAGCATTTCATATTATATAATTCTGCTTATTCTTTCAAAAATGTATACATCCGTTGGGCAAGGAATGCTTTTCATTAAATTACCAACATTAAATGCACTTAATCAGTGTATAGATTAAACAAAAGTAACAACTAACCTTTAGGCATTTTAAGGAGGTAAAACATACAGTTTTGCACATAAAGAAATATTTGATGCAAATATGCAGATAAAATTTTTTAAAAATTAGAACACTGAGAAAAACTACACCTTTGATGAGTGTCTTTTTTTTTTTTTTTGAGAACAAGAATTTCCAGATATTCTTTTAAATACTCAGCTTTGGTTTCTTTTTCTTTTTTCCCCCCAAACTACAAAGCTGCTGATAGCGAAACTCCAGATTTCACGCTGAGTTCAAACTATGTCAACCTTAGCACAAATATTAAAACAGTATTCAGAAAAAAAAAAAAACTCATTAAGGATCCAGCTTCTGTTCAAACCAATACGTGTTTGCATCCTAACAACAAACATTTGAATGAGATGGTCATAAAGTATCTGTCAGCAGGTCCCTTTAGTGACTATAAAGACCACTTTTTAAAATTTTTTGCATTTTGTATAAAAGTCGCCTGTCAGAGGGAAATGTTGAGCTTCAAAGATATTATACAATTTCCATAATGTATGTTTCTTTGGTTGTACGCAAGGAGTAAGAGGAAAAAGGTAGATTTGACTTTGAAGATGTGTATTAGAAATAAAATTTCCCATCCACTGTTTGTTGTTAAGAAGCCAAAGCGGGTCATTTCCCTAAAGGACAATGAAGAAAAACGAAATTGTTCAAAAGCAGCAGAATCAGAACAAATGAAAACTCCTTATAGAGGCCCAGGACATAGGAACGATGAAAGCCTTCGGAGAAGGAAATAAGGCCTTGGAAATGCTTCCCTCGTGGCCACGACTGTTATTAAGTGACATCGTGGCCTCGATGCTGCTGTGACCCTCCTTTCATGAGTGCCTGAGTGGCACAGGCCAAGCTGACCAGGATGGAGAATCAATTTCTTCACAAAAGAGAGTTTCTGTCGAATGGCTTATTACTGGAGGTTCGATCCTGCCTCTGTTATGTCATGACTACTCGCAAGAACAATGACCTTGAACGGTTTTCCATCCAGTTCTCAAAAACGTCCAGATCGAAACAATTCAAATGCCTCATTCAGAAAACCGAATCTCTTGCAAGACAAAATTTAAAAAAGAAATTCAGTAACCTAAAATCTTCAGAAGAGAATGCACTTACATTGTCTTATCCCGCCAGAGGTGGCAAAGAATGAAGATAGCAGGGGTGAAGGAAGCAGACACTCCGCTGTGGCCCAGACAAGGGGGCGTCGCTGCCAGCCTGGGGCCAGCAGGAATGAACTACTCCCCTGGGTGCCTTCGGAGCCAGTGCTAAGGAAGGGGACTGGCTTAGGGTGGTGTGAAGAACTACAGTTCCAGGGCATGAGTCGTAGGACAAGAGTTCCGCGTTGCACTCAGAAAGATGTGAGGGAGGGCTGGAGTGATAGCACAGCGGGTAGGGCGTTTGCCTTGCATGCGGCCGACCCAGGTTCAATTCCCAGCATCCCATACGGTCCCCTGAGCACTGCCAGGGGTAATTTCTGAGTGCAGAGGCAGGAATAACCCCTGAGCATTGCCAGGTGTGACCCAAAAATTAAAAAAAAATTAAAAAAAGATGTGACGGGGGCTGGAGCGATAGCACAGCAGGTAGGGTTGCACGCAGCTGACCTGGGTTCGATTCCCAGCATCCCATATGGTCTCCTGAGCACCACCAGGAGTAATTCCTGAGTGCATGAGCCAGAAGTAACCCCTGTGCCTCGCCGGGTATGACCCAAAAAGAAAGAAAAGAAAAGAAAAGATGAATTCGAGTCATTTCGGTGAGAGTGCTAACGTGTCCCACTCCCAGAACAGACTTCCCCCAGCTCTGCCTCCTGCAGAGGAATAATGCAAGAGCCTGCCGCTTCTCTTTGGTAGACAAATGAAACACTTTTGGAGAAATGAAAGAGGAGATGGGAGGGCTACTGGCCCCAGCCACACATTTCTCTCGGCTGTTCAAAGCAAAATATAAGAAATCGGTCTCGGAGTAAACAAAAAGCACCAGAAATCCTTCTCTAAAAGGAAAAAAGAAAAAAAAAAGGCGAACATCCAATTTCATAGACAAGTTCCAACTGACTAATGGCTAAGGCACCAGAGTTGCCATCGGACAACCCGACTGCGGTGACAGAAGCAGGGGGGTGGAGCCTGCCTGTCCCCACTGGTCCTGACCTGAACGCTGCTTGGGCGAGCAGGTGACAAGAGGGCAGAAAACTAAAAGCGTCTCCTCCTCGCCGACTCAATAACTCACGTTTCAAGACTTGCCTGCAGGCCGTGGGCCGCATTGCTCTGCCGCCTGCCTTTGGAGAAACCGCATCCGAATTCAGTCCCAACACAGGCCAGAGTATTGCACCATCAGCAGCAGAGTAAGGACCCCGGCTTCTGCCCATGGGCTCCTGGCTCCCGTCCACGGAAGCGTGGCCACACCCGGGCCGGGCCGTCCCCACAGCAGCACGGGGCGCTCAGGGTCAGACTGGACGTGTGGCTGAGGGGGCCCCCGGGGCCACCCCTCTCTCACACAGCCACTCTCCCCTCCTCACGGGCCCTTTCCGGGGGACCGTGCAAAGCGGGGACACTAACAATGGGAACACTCACAATTCTGAGGTAAAAATAAACGTTTATTCAAATATAAATTAACTCTGTTAAATTACTACTTCATTTTCATGACTACTTCATATATTAGATTTCAGAGTGTATGAGATGGACGTTTTAACACCCATCCACAGAATACTTCAAGGAAGCTGATCGTCTTTATTAAAGTTACTTTTGCCTGTAGACTTTTCCTCCCCAAGCTGCAGACACAGGGAGAGCCAGGAGGCGATGCATGTTTTGAAACCTTGCAGGCTCTTAATTCTAAATTACTAAACTCTGCCATGAATCACATCCTCAATAATATCCCTTTTGGAACTACTTTAAAAGTCATTCAGACGTTAACAAAACAGACAAAAACCCACCTTTCCCCGCTATCTTTCCCCAAACTACCCTAACTACAGCTGACTCACAATGGACAAAAACACTCAAACTTCTCTAACACACTCGAACGACAACAGAAAACCCAGCCTATTTTACGTGGCACTGAGCCATTACAAGAAATTTTATTAACATACTGTCTAGAATAATCACGAACCTATACAGCTATGTTCAGTATTTTCAAGGAGCGCGACTCCCTCTGACTAAACATTTACAGCCGACCGTGGGACCCGAGCGAGAAAATGACGTGTAATGACAGACCCGACAGTTCGACTGGGAAAATGGAATGACAGAAACGACACGGACTGCCCACCTCCTGCGCTCAGTGGGTGTGAGGCAGTTTTATGACACACCACCGCGCCTTAAGTCAGGGCTCACACGCGACCAGGACAGACGCCCTTGAGGCTGTTCTGAGCTCCAAGACACCAACTCCTCGTCTCTGTCATCGGACCTTCCTTGGGGAGACGTGCCAGGCAGAGGTGGCCTGGCCGGCCTTGGGCAGAGCTGCAGCAGGGGCCCATAGGGCCCTGGGCTACCAGCCCGGTGACAGAGTTCCTGCGATCTGGGATGACTCTTCCGGAATCCAGATCTGATACACGACACCTATTCGCAGGAAGAACTTGCGCAGGACGGCTCGGAGCTCAGGGATCAGGTCAAACTGCATAATTTCACACAAGTAGGGGTAGTACGTCGAAGCGTGTGCTTTAAACTTGAGATGGGAGGGAAGCAGAGAGAAAATGATTAGAAAGCGCAAGGGTTTACAAGGCATTCATTTCTCCAAGGAACCGGCCGGGACAGCGCAGCTGTGACTTGCTACTGGAAAGCTGGTGTAAAAGAAAACACAACTGCACATTAAAAATAAGAAAACCCAAAAAACATCTTTGTTATACTTCAAACAAAAAATATTTGGGGAGTTGCTACCGGTGTCACTTTTATTTCCATCAAGCAGTTTCCGGGGCTAAACCAGGGCTTCCCCGCAGCAACTATGTCCCAACCTAGCTTCCCTAAAAACACCCGTTGCTAAGCAACCAGCAGGGTTTCAGCCTCCACCCCTCTCCATCCGGGTTATCTGAGAAAAGGCCCGAATATCCTGACACGGCTGTCTGTCACGAGAGGAACATCAACGCATCCCCAAGCGGGGCCCGTTATATGGCCGTGCTCGGGAAACCGGGAGCACCCAGCTCAAACTCAGAGTGAAATGCCGACCCCACGTGACATCTGAGAGGAGGTCGATCAGTGAGCGTGCTTGTTCATTCATACCTTTTCGTCGCTTATTTTGAGGGTTTTCGTGAGGAGCAACAACAGAAGACTTGTCCAGGCCTCCCGATGGCTCTCCGAGTTCACCGTGATGAAGTAGGCCAGAGCCTCACTGCACACACTGGAAGAATCGGGGCAAGGGAAGGCATGGCCGAGATTAACCTCGGTCGTTCTGCCAGAGCCCAGAATTCTTGTTTCCCTTTCCTAACTGTTACAGGGGCCAGTGCTGGAGGATATCAGAGCCACACCTGGAGGGGGACATGTGTGCGTACGTGCATGCACCTGTGAGAAATCAAACCCAGGACTTCACACATATAAGGTCTCTGCTCTACCACCAATCACACCTCTAGCCTGGGAGCTATCTGTTCCTTTTTTTCTTTTTTGGGCCACACCCGGTGATACTTGGTGGACTCCATGGGATGCTGGGGATCCAACTCGAATCAGCCGCATGTGAGGCAGACGCCCTACCTGCCGTACTATCACTTACCCCACCCCACACTTTTTTCCGTATGTTTGTTTTGTGTTTGGGCCATACCTGGAGGTGCTCAGGGGACCACCATATGGAGTACCAGGGGCTGACCCAGGCAACCGTGTACAAGGCAAATGCCCTACGTGCTGTACTATTGCTCTAGCCACTGACTATTCTTGCACGAACTACCATCGGGTACCAGCTTGATTGGGCTGTATCAAGCCAACCTTGGTTTCCTTCGCTGTCTAATGGGGATAGAGAGCTGGACGACCTCGCAAGAGCTGTGTTGGGTTCCGCTGGAAAAAGCAGGTTCCCTGTGTGTTCAGTGAGGGCCCAACGTCTGTACGAAGCACTGGACGCCGGAGCTGGGATCCCAAGGGAACTGCACCTGCCCTTCTCTCCTCACATCACCCACCACGACTGGCTTTCAACGGGTGTTGCTAAGAAACTGAATGTCTACTTCCCAGCGAATTCTACGGAACTAGAATTAATTCTCTTTTGGGTATCAGAAGTTGACATGAACTACTGGTGTTTCAATGAACGGATTTTTTTTTTTAAATCCTCTGGCTTGTCATACAAACACCTCACTATAAGATGACTAAAAAAAAAAAAATCCAAATTCCACTGTCTTGAAAAATACAAGTTAATATCTTTTTTTTTTCCTTCTTTTGGGTCTCTCCTGGCGATGCACAGGGGTTACTCCTGGCTCTGCACTTAGGAATTACCCCTGGCAGTGCTCAGGGGACCCTATGGGATGTTGGGAATCAAACCCGGGTCGGCTGCGTGTAAGGCAAACGTCCTACCCACTGTGCTATCGCTCCAGCCCCTCTTCTTGTTTTGTTTTGGGGCCATACCTGGCAGTGTTCAGAGCTTATTCCTACACTCAGGAATCACTCTGGTGGGGCTCAGGAGACCATCACCAGCAGTGATCCCTGTGTGGAGAGCCAGGAGTAAGTCCTGAGAACCTCTAGGTGAAGCCCCACAAAAAAATAGAAAAGAAAAAAAGAAAAAGAACAAGTGTTTGAGCACCCATGACCTTGTGTAAGAGTGTAACAGCAGCATCGCTGATGGGAGCAGACCCTGGGGAGCACATGAAAGCACTGAGTGTGTGTGACCCCAGTTCACTGCAGCGACTACGGTGAGGTGGGAGGAGGAGAGGGGGAAGGGGGCGTTACTGAATGGAGGAAACAGAAAGGAAAACTTTGCCAAACATCCGCATGTGTTTCTCTCCTATCCTTTCAAATAACTATTGTACTACCCTCTGCGTCTCACGAATAGAAAATCGTAATAGAAACCAGTTTCTTACTTCAAGAGTCGATGCTGTATTTCTTCCCAGGAATCCCTCCGGTTCTCATCGACATACATTCGAAACAGGATCCTCAGGCAACAGGCCAAACTGCTGGTTTCTTGCTTCAGGAGGTTGGGCTTAGACTTGCCCTTGAAACCTAGAGGCGAGAGTGCCACATTGGTCAGGCCGAGAAAGCACACAGAGACTTAGCAGTGGCCAGGGATGCCAGAGTCTCTCACATGCTTTTCTTTGGGAGGGGGGTTTGGGCCATACCTGTATGCAAGGCAGGTGTCCTACCCTTTGGGAAAGATTTTATTTAAGAGGCTAGAAAGAAGAGGAAAAGAGTAGGAAACTTCCCAGTGTGGGAGCAAAGCTCCTGCTGAGAGAATTCTCAGAATAATGTCAGTTTTTATAAACTTGGTTTTGTTGTTGTTGTTTTTGGCTTTTTGGGTCACACCTGGTGATGCACAGGGATTACTCCTGGCACTGCACTCAGGAATTACTCCCGGCGATGCTTAGGGGACCATATGGAATGCCGGGGATCGAACCCAGGTTGGCTGCATGCAAGGCAAAGGCCCTACCCACTGTACTATCACTCCAGCCCTTTTGCTGTTGTTTTGAGGATGCCTCATGGTGCTCGGGGCTTACTCCTGGCGGGGTTTGAGGGACCATGTGATGCCGAGGATCAAACCAGGGGCCTTACTCGTTCCTCAACTTGGTTTCTATCAGATACTCCCATCTCCTCTGTGCCAGCCAACATTCCTGGTATTGGGATAAAATCCACCTAGCATTTCCCTCCCGCTTGAAAATAACTTAGATAATTCCGGGTCTGTGTCAAATGCCAGCACGCTCTACGGGGGGACTAGGGAAGACCCGTCTCACCCGCCGGGTGGGGCTTACCTGCCCGCCACAGGACAGTTCGCTGCTCGTAGTTGGAGTTGAAGGCCTTGGAGAAGGAGTGGGACTCTTGCAAGCAGTCCAGCAGCTTGAACAGGTGCTGGGAAGACATGCACTTGTACATGCCCTGATCCTCCGTCGCGATGTGAATATCCGCATCCAGGGTGTCTTGCTGCAAGGGGGAGGCGAGGGACGGTCAGGGAGGGTGAAGCCACCCTCTGGGCATGCTGCAGTTCCCTCGAAGCTTTGTAAATCATCATTGTGGCAGTCACACCTGGCAGAGCTTGGGGGTCCAGGGTCACTCCTGGCTGAGTACTGGGGCATCGAATCCAGGGCCTAACCCAAGCAGGGCTATCCCCGCCCAACTTTGAATGATTTTTTCTTTTTGGACCACACCCAGCCGTCCTCAGGGCTTACTCTGGGCTCTATGCTCAGGGATCATTCCTGAAGGGGCTTGGGGGCATAGAGAGTGCTGGGGATCAGACCTACTGTGCGGGACAACCCCCCCCCCCCCCCCCCCCCACTGTTCTGTCTCCCAGCCCCGACTCTGCCTACGGAGCTAGACACTGACTGGGCAAGCCAGGGTTTGATTTCATTTTACTTTTATTTATCTTTCTTTAGGGGGGAGGGGCAGGGGAGATGTTCTTCCAAGGGGCCACTCCCTGGTGATGCTGGCTATACGGGAGTGCAGGGGGGCTATGGGGTGCTCTGCCCCGACCTCTCTGGATTCTTTTCTGGCCCCTTGAGTTTGGTTTCATCAGTCCCGCCTTCACGGCCTGCGTTTCCAATCTTTTCAATGAAGAACTGCACTCTCCTCTTTTTATCGGACAGATATTGGAAAATGAGAAACTCAAATTGGGGTATATGTGACAGAAGTTGAGAGTTTATATGACAGAAGCTGAGAGTATCCGAACACGCTCGGTGTAAGAAAAAAAGCCACGTCCAGGGGGCACCTCTAGCCTCATCAGAAATAAAGTGACTTGGTAAGTTAAATGTGTTTTCGTATTTGAAGAATAACACTAAAGGAAGAAATTTTTACTGCTCATATTGCCTGAAACACGAGCTCAGACATAAGTGATATACTGTATTTCTGATCTATTTCTCAGATGACTTTTTTTTTTCTTTTACAGAACTGACAAGTTGATTCTTAACTATTTGTGGTGGGGTCGCGCCTGGCTCTGCGCTCAGGGGTCACTCCTGGCGGGACGTGGGGGTCAATAGGCAGTTCTGATTTTTGGGGGTCGGGACTGGAACCCCTCCTACCTGGGCCGCGACCATATGCTCCGCATCCTCCTTTTTGCTCGTGGCAGGGTAGAAGACGATGTTGTCGATGGTCTGTATCAATTCCAACTGGACCACACACTTGATGAGGAGGTTGGCAAACAGTTTCTGGTCTACGTAAGATGACAGAGATTAACCTTCAGAATGACAAGGCGCCACGTCTGATTCAGGGCTGGGCAGTCCCTGCCCCCCCGTGGCAGAGAGAGCTAAGACGGGGACAGGACGTGTCAGGGTGTGGGTGGAAGTCTCAGTCAGCCGGACCGCCCCAAGCACAGAGAAGGCAGGTTTGGAGCAGCGTGGCCCTGGTGGCCAGAGCAATTTGGGCCCGTTCTCTGCTCCCGTGCCCCTCCGGGGTCCCTTCTCAGCGGCTGTCCGACTTTGACTAGTGGACAGCTTTTGTTGCGGGGTGGGGGACAAGCAACCGTGCTGTGCCCAGGGGTTTCGGGGGCCAGCACAGACACTGCCCACGTCTCTCTGGTCCTTGTCACAAGTCCTTAGGAAGCATAACTTGTGGGGTATTTTTTTTTTTTTGAGGGTGGTGTCACACCCGACAGTGCTCAGGGATTTCTCTTGGCTCTGCACTCGGGAATCACTCCTAGAGGCCTTGGGTGCTGGGGATCAAGCCCGGCTCAGCCACATGCAAGGCAAGCGCCCTCCCCGCTGTGCTATGGCTCCAGCCCCAAGCACGTGACTTCTGACCACTGACGGGACTCAGACCAGTGCCTCACCCATGTTGTCTTCTACATCCCTAGACCAGGGGCTGCCGTGTCAGGCAGGGCACTGCAGCTGGGGGCTGGTGTGACTGGATTCCAAGAACAAAAGAACAATCCTCCCCAACTCGGGTGGGAAGCCTGGCATACACATTTCAGTCCCGGAAAACACAGAGATTGGGTCAGTTCACTTTTTATTATATCCTGATTTTTCAATTCTGGGTCACTTCCAGTGGTGCTCAGGCATCACACCTGGTGGTGCTCAGGAGAACCATATGTGGTGTCAGGGCAGAGCTGGCTTTGGCAGCATCAAGGCAAGTGCTCCCAGTTTTATGCATCTTTAAGGTTGGCTGTGAATTTTAAATACACATAAAAAGGGGGCTGGAGAGATAGCACAGCAGGTAGAGCTTTTGCCTTACACGCGGCTGATCCGGGTTCTATTCCCAGCATCCCTTATGGTCCCCCAAGCACCGCCAGGACTGATTCCTGAGTGCAAAGCCAGGAGTGACCCCTGAGCACCGCCGGGTGTGACCCAAAAAGCAAAAAAAAAAAAAAAAGAAGAACAAACAAAATAAAACAAAAAAACCATAAAAATCCCCCAAGCATAATTACTTTAAATTTTAGGCCACACCCTGACTCCTGGCTCTGTTCTTAGGGTCAGCCGTGTACAGGGAATGCGCCCTCCCTGCTGTACTATCTCTTCACCCTGAGGAGAGACCAGCACGGCATAAGTCTGACTTCTCAGTCAAAACTGTGTCTCAATCCCCTCTCTACATCCAGGCAGCCCATGTCTTCCTCGTCTCTGCTCAGGCAGAAGGAACACCCTTATAATAGCATCACTATCACACACTAAGATGTAATGCTCAGATATAATGACCCTACACTGGAACCTTTCCAAGGGGCCAATGTAGGATGACTTATGATCACACACACAACTCAAACACTCCATTCAGTGCCTGGCAGATGGCAACTGTTATACCTACATTTATGTTTTTGTGGGGGAAAAAAAAAAACCCAAAAAACAAAACAACAGAAAAAACCATAAGCTTCAGTAAGAGAGAAATTAGTAAGAATAATTTGAAACTGCCATCTCGAAAAGGGCTCCTTAACACAGAATAAGCTAAATCAAGATTAACACCAGAGAAAGGACAAAGATTATGAACGCCTGGTTCATAGAAAAAAAGCAGACGTGGTTCTTAAGCGCATGAAAATGGCTCCGGTTCGCTCACAATTAGAAAACGCGAATGAGAAATAAAGCTACTAAATTTCACTGAGGCAAAGAAAATGCAAATATAAACAGGTACAACGTTAACAGGCCCCTATCTGGAAAAAAAAATCTGTCAGCACAGAATATGGTTACCTGTTAACCCAGGAATGGTTTATCTCACACTATGCTGCTAAGTGAGAATTCACATATGATGTATGTATTACATCCTGTAAAGCCCATTTGGAAGGCTACGAGGAGGCAAACAACAGTCCGTCTCTCTCCTGGGACAACGGACATCGTACAAGATGACATGAAAGGTCTTTAGATGCTTCTATGAATGATTCTTGAGATATACTCGGTGAAATCATAATGAATAGCGCAGACTATCCTCTGCCTTGTATAAGGAAGGAGAATTTACATGTACATACGCACATGTGGGTAGGACTATGCTCACTTATGGCAAACTGTCTCTGCCCGGGTACCCAAGGAACCGGTGACAATGACTGCTGCAGGCGTGGGTGGGTGGGCTGAGGGCCCAGGACCGAGGAAGGCTGTTCGTTTTCACCTTTCAGACCTTCCGAGTACTGGAAGCACACAAAGGCGTGACCTACTTGAAAAGGGCAGAAGCAAATGAAAAGCTGCCCAGGTGAACAAGGGGCCTTACTTGCATGCGGCCTGCCCTTCCAGCCCTCGTCCGTCGGGTTGGACAGCTGGCTCTGGCCCCTCTCCGAGGCGTTTCTGTCCACGCTGCTCAGAGACTGGCGGTCCAGATCCACATCCTGGAAGGTGACGGGAGAGAAAGAGAGAAAGAAAACGTTTGCTTCGTTTCATGTACGAATTTGGTGCTGGGACAAAGGGGTTGATTTTGGTTTTTGGGTCACACCCGGCGATGTTCAGGAGTTACTCCTGACTCTGCACTCAGGAGTCACTCCTGGCAGTGCCTGGGGGACAATATGGGGTCCTGAGGATCAAATCCGGGTTGGCAGTGTGCAAGGCAAGCGTCCTCCCTGCTGTACTATCTTTCCAGTCAGAGAGGAAGGGGCTGTTTGAATTTACTACCCCACCCCAATCAAGGTTCTCATTCCGCTCTAAGAAAAACTCACACAGCTCTTCTTGTGTGGCATAGAAAGGTGACAAAGATCAGTTTTTCAGTTATCCCCCCCCCCCACCCAACTGCACATTTTGGGGGCCAGAGCTATAGAACAGTGGGGAGGACATTTGCGATGCAAGCATCTGACCTGGATTCCATCCCTGGCACCTCATACGGTCCCCTGAGCACCACCTGGAGTAATCACCGAGTGTAGAGCCAGGACTAAGTGCTAAGCACAGCTGGGTGTCCGCCTCAAACAAAAAACCTGCAGGTTTTCTTATTTCAGCTTTGAGGGCATTTCTTGACACATTATGGTAAAATTTAACCGTAAGTGTCAAATTTTTAAGGACCCCAAGCACAAAAATAAATTAGTAGTGTGGTAGCTACCTTCTCGTTTTTTTCCCCCCGGGTGACAGCAGAATAGAAAATATTAAAATAACGTGCTTCAATTTTAAGTTGTGACGCCACTGGCCTTCAGGAGGGATAGCTCAAGTGGCTGGATGCATGGTATGCAAGTGAGAGGCCTGAGTTTGCCCCCCTGAGCAGTACTGGCAGTGAGCCAAGCACTGAATTGAGAGTCCCCCTTGGGCATTGCTCAGTATAATCCTTAGGTGCAAAATGAGTCCAAATTTCAAATATGCACATTATCCGTGTGCAATAACATGAGGAAAGAACAAGAAATATAAACTAAATTCGTAATATCTCTCAATACCTGTACTTTTGGGAAAAAATGCTAGTGAAGAGAAACAGTTTTTAAAATTAATACTGTCCCTCTCCCACCTGTTCCCCCTCTTTCGGACTTTGGGACACAGCAGTGCTCAGGGCCCATGTGGTGCTGGGGTCAGACCTGGCATGTTACATGGGGGCTGGAGCAATGCACAGCAGAGACCGTGCTGGCCTTGCACGAAGCCAATCCAGATTCGATCCCCAGCATCCCACAGGGTTCCCCGAGCACCGCCAAGAGCAACTCCTGAGTGCAGAGCCAGGAGTAAGTGCTGAACAGTGCCGCATGTGGCCACAAAACAAAACAAAAGAGAAAAAAACACAAATTTTGGGGGTTGATTTTTGTCTGTTTGGAGGCCACACCTGGTTGTGATCAAGGCTAATTACTGGCTCTGTGCTCAGGGATCACTCCTGGTAGTACTCAGGGGGCCATATGTGGTTCAGGGGTTAAGTCTGAGTTGGCACGTGCAAGGTCTTAACCATACACCTTAACCCCTGGACAATCTTCTCAGTCCCTTGCACTGATTCTCACTGTGAGTTCAGAGGAGAGCAACCAAAAGAGAAAAAAACAACCCTACCTGTTGAGGACAACTGTCCCCAACATCAGCCCCAACACCTACCAAGTGCTTCTCCGACGCATCTTCCTCCATTCCTGCAGGTCTCCACGTCAGCAAGCTTACGGGAGGAAGAGAAGGAAACGGATGAGTATGAAAGGTGAGTGACCTCAAACTTCAACACAGTCACTGACCACAGAATAAACAGCAGTGACTGACTGATACTTACACATGCGGGATGGTTGTTTTGAAAATATCCAACATACAATTACACGTTTCATCCCAGACATCAGCACTGAATTTCTCTCCATTGGATATGACTAAGTTTTCTAAGCAATTTGTACCTGATCGAGCCAGTTGCTCATTATCTGCAAGATTAAAAAAAAATCAAGTTCAATTGTGATCTGACTCCAATTGCTGATATCATATTGTGAGGTGAAGACTACAGTGGGTTGTGAGGCTTGGTTTCCAGCTATACCCAGTAGTGCTTGGGGGTTACTGCCCTGAGCTTGATGCTCAGGGGACAATACTGTGCCAGGCACGGACTCCGGGGCCCCGACACTCAGCCCACAGAGCTAGCTCTTTTGCTCGGGTGTTTATTTCTTGATGATTTTTTTTTTTGCAGGGGTGTGTGCACACCTGTTGTTTCCAAGAGCTCACTCTTGGCTCTGTATCCAGGGATCACTCCTAGAGGTGCTTGAGAGACCATCAGGGGTGCCGGAAATCAAACCGTGGTCGGCCGTGTGCTAGCAAGTGCCCTGCCTGCTGTACTACCACTCCAGTCCCCAGGCTCAGGTTTTTGATTAATGAAGCAATGCTACAGCAGAGAAAGTTTTAAACAGACTATAAAGATATAAAATTTGGGGCCAGAGAGACAGTACGGGGGATAGGGTGCTTGGTTTGCAGACCTGGGTTTGATCCCTGGTAACTCCATACAGGCCCCTGAGTCTGCGAGGAGTGAGCCCTGAGCCAACAGACCCAGGAGGAAGCCCTGAGCATTGCTGGGTGTCCCCCCCCCCCCCCAAAAAAAAAAGATATAAAATTATCATAGGTTTATTGCTAGGGATAAGAAAAGGTCAAAATGTTGCTATGTAGTCAATTTTCTACGATTAAATGAACTGTTAATAAACTGTCTTGGGGGCTGGAGAGATAGCACAGCAGATAGGGCGTTTGCCTTGCATGCGGCGAACCCGGGTTTGATTTCCAGCATCCCATATCGATCGTCCCCTGAGCACCGCCAGGAGTAACTCCTGAGTGCAGAGCCAGGAGTAACCCCCGTGCATCGCCAGGTGTGAACCGAAAAGCAAAAAAAAAAAAAAAAAAAACAAAAACCAAAAAACCTGTCTTGTATGACAGATGGAGAATATTAAAAGGACGAAACCAATTCAGTTACACACAATGTTTATAATTTCTGTCCCACCAGTATCAATTGCTTTATCATTTATTTTTACTAAGAGTTACTTTTCTTTTTTTTTTCCCCTTTTTGGTCACAGCAGGTGATGCTCAGGAGTTACTCCTGGCTCTACACTCAGGAATTACTCTCGGCAGTGCTCGGGGGACCATATGGGATGCTGGGAATAGAACCCGGGTCACCTGCATGCAAGACAAATGTCCTACCTGCTGTATTGTCGTGTCAGCCCCAAATTAAGCCTTCTTGAAATCTAAACCATTTATGGAATCTATAAGTTACGTGGGTAGTTTTCCTAAGACACACTAAAATAAATACCAAACAAAAACTATACATGAATGAAGCTGTTGACCTTAATTTCCAGGATATATTTTAAAAAACATTGCATTATAGAAAAATTCAAACACTTGAAAGAAAATATGTACTTTGATTATAAAAATGCAACCAACATACATTAAAAAATATGATATACCACCTGGTATGGCCCCCCAAACAAACAAAAACATACACACCAATGTAACAGATAAATGTATGTGTATACATATATATCACAGCAGATATACCTGACACAGCCAGAAATGTAACTCTGCGGTGGAATCTATGTCCCACATATGTAAGAACTAGGCTTCACTCCCTGTAGCACATATACACATATCCATAGAAAAAAAGAGTCTCTCTCAGCGTCATTCAATAATAAATCTTAAATAAATAAATAAGAAAGGTGGAGATTTAGAAAAAAAAAAAGAAAGAAACTGCATTCAAATTTTTGTTGTTTTGGGGCCACGCTTGGCCATGTTCAGGGCTTACTCCTGGCTCTCTGCTCAGGAATCATTCCCATGGTGTTCGGTGGACCATATGGGATGCCAGGGATTGAACCCCGGTTGGCCACGTGTGAGGCAAATGCCTACCTGATATACTACTGCTCCGGCCAACTTTCAGTCTTTATTTTGTTTTGTGCAGTCACGCCTAGGGTTGACTCCTGCCTCTCTATTCAGGATCACTCCTGGTGGTGCTTGTGGGACAACATGCAGGGCCAGGGATCTAACCTGGGTCAGCAGCACGTAAGCAAGGGTCCTATCCGCTGTGCTACTTCTTCCCACAGTTCAATCTCCTAAGGATGCGTTTATAGGACAGGAGTGACAGCTCGGGGTTAAGGCACCTGTCTTGAACGAGGCGGACTCCAGTTAAATCCCCGGCACCAGATGGTCACATGAACATCTCTGGGAGCGATTCCTTAGCTTAGAGCCAGGCGGAGCCATAAGAACCACCACATGTGGTCTAAACCTCCAATACCACAAACACCATCTCCCCCTCTCCACAAAGATTTATAAATAGTGTTGGATACAGCAAACATTTAATTGAATAATGAATATGCATTTCTATTACACGTTGCAGCTCTTGGCATTGAATAAATTAATCTCTCATTAAGGACCATGTCAGGAAAAGCGATGCCTTAGAAACACAGTACCTTGTTTCACGCACCACTGTAACTGTGCGAACACGTCAGAAAGAAGCACTTCATTCAAAGCTTCATAAAACTGGGTAAACACATCACAGATCGCATAAAGTGCATGATTGCAAGTTGTTGTCATCCACTCGGATTTCTGGAAAAATCATAAAAGATGATATTAAAAAAAGTGTCTCCCTGTGATGAGACCGACTTGCTCAAAAAATAGAAGCGAAAGGTGGCCTGGGAGATGGTGCAAAGGGCTGGGCTTAGGCTCTGCATGTGGGACCCCAGGCTTACTCACTGGCACTGTAGGGACCCCAAGCATCGCTAGGAAGGCTCTCTGAGCACTGTACCAGAAGTGGGCCCGAGCACTGCTGGGTGTGGCCCCTCAAAAAATGAAATTAGCAAAACTGTTCTGAAAAGCCATCTGGCAACCTATTAAAAATGTCCATAACCCCCGACAGAGAATAAACCCTTGACAGAGCCCACCCTTTCCCTTCCCCATGACCCAGCAGGGAGAAGCAACAGGTGTGAAAGGCTTTACTCAAGTTGGTTAGGGGGAAACAGTGGGCAGGGAGATAGCTCCAAGGGCGGGAGCCAAGTGCAAGCAAAGGGCCGGGGGCCCCTGCTGGGAGTAGGCCTGGAGCAGCACGAGGCTGTGTCCCCCACTAGGGACCAGGGATGTAGCTCAGGTAGAGCATGGGCCCAGCAGGTGGGAGGCCGAGGGTCGGACCCCAGCACCGTGGGTGTGGTAGCAGCGAGATGCCGGGGATGGTCCTCGCCACAACAGCGCGGTTAATGCAAAGGCCTTGACTCTACTGACATCATCTCCAAGGGCAATTTCCTTAAAAACCTTAGAAAAAGGACGGGAGCGATAGCACAGTAGGTAGGGCGTTTGCCTTGCACGCAACCAACCTGGGTTCGAATCTCAGCATCCCATGTGGTCCCCTGAGCACCACCAGAATTAATTCCTGAGTATACAGAGCCAGGAGGAACCCCTGTGCATCGCCAGATGTGATCCAAAAAGAAAAAAAAAACCACCCACGCCTTAATACTTTAACGCAGGGGCATGACCCCAAAGCCATACGTGTGAGACGTGAGCTCTCCCGCTGAGCTGCAGCCATGATCCCTTACTAGGTTTTCTTGACTTTTCTTTAATAGATGGTTTTTCTTTTTTCTTTTTCATTTTTCCTTTTTTGATTTGGGGCCACACTGGCAGTGCTCAGGGATCATCTGGGGGACCCTAGGGGATACCAGGGACTGAACCCAGGTCAGCCACATGCAAGACAAGGCCCTACCCGCTGTCCTATCTCCCTGGCCCTGGACGCCTACCTCCGACTGCTGCTCAGGGAGCTTCATATTGTCAAAGATCCTGAACACAATCCGGAACAGGTCCTGCCACCAGTGCTTCTCAAAGGTGTGGCCGTAGCTCTTCATGATCTCAAACATGACGGTGAGGCCTCTGGAGGGAAGAACCAGGACAGAGGAGGGCGTGGGGTGGGGGAAGCAAGAGCACGAAGGGGGGGAAGGGGGTGAGCGAGGTTCGTTCAGGGCCTGGAGGGGCGCCCTCTGAGACACAGTTACCTCGTCCGCACGTCGAGCTTGCATCTGTTGATGATGCAGGAAAGCTCAAACAGGATCGGGAACCAGCCTCGGACCCAGACTCGGTCACCAGGAGCCACGTTCATGTCGTCGCTGGTGTACTCCTGCAGCACCTGCAATGGGATTTCAGAACGGTCATGGAAGATTTGTCCCCTTGCTGCTTCCAGGAAGGTGCCATGTGGCACACGCCACTCAAACAGTCCCAGCTACTGTGAGCTGTTTGCTCTGCCAGAGGGCGGGGTACTGGCTGTCAGCCAGGAAGATGGAACGGCCTCGCTCAGCAGAGGAGTTAACTAGTTTTCTTTCATATAGAAATATCAAGCTGCTTCAGTTATTAAAAAAAAAAATACACATACATGTGTGTAGGGGTGTGTGTGTGTGTGTGTGTCTAGGTGTGTGTGTGTGTGTGTGTGTGTGTGTGTATGTTGGAGCCACACCTGGCTCTGTGCGAGTGGAGTGCCCATATGCACAACAAGCACCTTACAATCTCTCCAGTGCCCAGTTCTGCCAGATATCAAAAGTTGAAACATTATGGTCTGCTAGCACAGCGGTAAGGCGTTTGCCTTGGACGCAGCCAACATGGCCGACCCGAGTTCTATTCCTCCACCCCCTCAGAGAGCCCGGCAAGCTACCGAGAGTATCTCGCCCGCACGGCAGAGCCTGGCAAGCTCCCAGTGACGTATTCGAGATGCCAAACACAGTAACAACAAAGTCTCCAATGGAGACGTTACTGGGCCCGCTCGAGCAAATCGATGAACAACGGGAGGACAGTGACAGTGACAGTGACATAAAAACAATGGAATACTGCATAAAAGTTTCTCGTAAAGGTCAGATTTGCAGCCGGGAGGCCCGGGTTCTGCACTCGGCACCATGTGGGCCCTGAACACAGCCGGGATCACGCACTGAGCACCAAGCCTGGAGGCCCCACTGAGTCAGGCTGTAAAGGCAGATTCTGAAGTGCAGGCTGGGGGTAGCGTGAACCCACCTTTGTTTCTGTTGGGTTTGGGGCTGCACCCAGTGGTGCTCAGGGCTTACTCCTGGCTCTGAGCTCAATGATTACTCCCAGTGGTACTCAGGGGTGCTGGGGATGGAACCCGAGTCGGCCGCATGCAAGGCAGACGCCCTTCCAGCTGTGCGGCCTCTCTGGCCCCTGAATGTGCCCCAAGGCTGCCGCTCTGATTCCTCCTCCTCCTCCTCCTCCTCCTACCGCCCGTCGGGGACGCAGAGGCGAGACGTACCCGGGGCCTCTCGGAGACGTACTTCCCGCAGAAGCGGATGAGCCGGATGGCCTCCATGCTGGTGTCCGGGAAGGCGGCGTTGCAGGCGAACTCCGACAAGCACTTCACGGCGTCCTGAAAGGAATCGATGGCGGCGGGGAAATGGTGCTGGAAAATAGAGGCTGGGAAAGACAAAGTGCACGGCTCGTCAGACGGGGGCTCAGGAAAGCGGGGTGCACCCCCGCCTCTCCCGCTCCACCCCACTACACGCGCCCTGTCCCCGGGTAACTGATCTCAGAGAAGGACGTCCAGAGCTCAGGAGGCAGCAATTCCAACTACATTTTTTGTGCATTAATGGGGTGTGTTCAGCTGGGTTAAACTGGCTCCCAGATTCTAGAAACTCTGCAGAGGCCCAGATGCTCCTAAATTCAACCAACCCTTCTCAGGCGCCAATGACGTGTAAAGCACAGTCGCAGGCCCCGGGGACAGACAGGTGACGAGGTGAATTCTCCTGCCGTGGACTGAGGTGGCTCAGAGGGCTGGAGTTTTGTAAACTGCACGCAAGAATCCCAGCTTCGACGCCTGGCACAGTGAGGTCCCTGGAGCACCCGGCCTGGTGTGGTCCAAACCTTCCCCCTACAAACAGCCCCTGACCTCATCACACTCAAGCGCCAAAGGCCAGGACAGAGAATGATCGCTGAGGTCAGCGCCTACACAAACCACTGAGCAGAGGGTGGGTGCCGGGCGAGGAAGGGCCAGCCTGGGGGACATTCTACATGAGAAGTGGCCTTAGGGCAGAGTGGGTGGGGCGAGAGCTGGAGCCTTCGGGGTGCAGTGTGTGGGGTGTGTGGGGGGGGTGGGATCCGGAGAACTCGAAGGGGGTGACAGTTATCTGCATGGGCTCTGCATACTGTGGCCGCACTGCAGGGCACCCCTCTTCACCCCTGGTTCTACCCCAAGACCCCGCCTCATGCGAGGAGGCTCGTGAAGCCAAAGGGGGAGAGACAGAGACAGAGAGGTCGAAGACCGAAGGCGAAAGGCCCCACGCGGAAGCTCAGGCTTTCAAAGCCCCACGAGTAGCTGCCAAGAGACAGACGTGGGGCGGCAAGATGACGGGGGAGGGGCAAGGCCAGACACATGCCCAGCCCAATAAACACCCGGCTGAGTGGGTGGGGGGCAGGGGCAGGGGCTTCCGGTCTCTCGGCGTGGGCAGATATCACCCTCGGGACTGGATGCTGGCGGGAACCCCAGCTCCAACATCTCCTAGTGGGGTGACTTCATGCACGATGTTTTACTTTATCTTTCGGGGCCTGAGTTTCCTGTCTGGGGAAGTAACGGGACAGTCCGTTTTTCCCATTCATGATGTATTCTCCGATGTTACTCAGGACACGGAGCGAGCAAATACTGGCCCCCTTTTCCTGGACAAAAAGGGGTTTGGCTCACTTGAGCCCCAGGCACAATATTTTGGCTCATGGGTGGTGGGTTTGACCTATTTTTCTTTGAGGCTGTTCAGAGACCCTCATGGGGTGCGTACTGCTGGTTCAGTAGCACAGAACTGACAAGTAAACAGCCCTGGACGCATGCGTGATGAGGAGTCACTGGGAAGGCATTTTCTCTGAAGCCCCCCTCTGCCTCCCGCAGACAGCCCCCCTCAGCAAGGCGTTTCCGGCCCGTCACTGCTCTGCGCATGTGTGTATCCACAAACAATCCATCACAGAGCCTGGGAGCGCGGGGGGCACGGGGTGTACACACGCTGCAGCAAACAGGCCCTGTGTTTCCTTGTCAGTAGTTCTCAGGCTGAGCACAGCCCGGGGAGTTTAGGAAATAAAGCCTCAAGCGAGCGTGCTCCCGGCTCGACTCGCAGGGGACGGAGGGGTGCAGGCGGCCACTTACTGACGATGTGGCCCGTGGTCTGGAAGGCCAGCTCCACGATGTTGCCGTCATGGTCCGAGGCTGCCTGGTGGAACACGGCGAAGATGTTCTTCCAGCCGGAGCGGATGTTGGCGGCCTGGGAGTTGACCATCTGGGCGATGCAGCGAATCACCATGTCCCGGATGGTGGGAGACCTGAGGGAGAAACCGGGCATGTGTCCCCAGGCTCGGGCGGAGGGCCTCATCAAGGCACAGAAATGTGATGTCAGCCGTCAGACATTGACAAAAAAAAAAAAAGCGTCCAAAAAGCAGTCGTTTTCTTTAAGCCATAACCTGTATTTACTAACACACACACACACACACACACACACACACACACACACACACACACACACACTCTTACGCATCTGAGACAAGGAAACCATTATTCTGGCAACAGAACTGAAACCACCGAGGCAGGTGAAGTGAAGGAACAATGTTAATAGTGCTGTAAAAAAAAAATCAACATCAGAAAACGAGAGAAATATTTTGAGGACTCAGAGAATGAGCACTGTGGTTCAGAGCATCAGCCTTGCCACCTTGCAGGTGTATAGTCAATTGCGGGCATCACAGATTGTCCCCGGTGCTGCCTGTGAATTCCAGCCACACCACAGGGGAGCACCACCCAAAGGCCTGGGCCTCTTGGCTGGCACCGCAGCTCAAAAGGTATGTGGGGTGAGTAGAGCCATGCTGGGAGTGACCCCGAGCATGGCAGGGCGTGGCCCCGTCTAAAACACAGCCCCTCTCCAGAAAACAAACAAAAACAAACGAAGATGCGAAGATGCGTGAGCACCGCAGCCATGGGGCCCCAGCTAAGTGTGTGAGGCCTGGCGGGCAGCTGTGCAGTGTCTGGCAGGAGGGAGACCCCGAAGAGTGCAGTGAGCGTGACCCCAAGAGCGCGTGCGCGCGGCCCCAGCCCCCCCACCCCCACTGCCAGCACAGGGAAGGCGGGGAGAAGAGACAGTCTTGAATGACTGTATCTTGGTCAGGGCCCAGGACCCCTCCCTGGGAGAGGTGACAGGAGAGAGTGTAAAGTCACGGAGTCCAGGGGCACAGAAACGTCAGATGTCAGACGTCAAATAGCATCAAAGCGCTTTGGGAACGTCACGGACACTCACGCAAATGTGAGCTCATGCCCTCTGTGCTAGCAGCCTGGAGGGCGGCATGGGACAGGCAGGGAGGTCTGGAGACAGGGACAGGGAGCTGGTGGCCTCGGGCACTCCCGGGCTGGGCGGCTGCGGTCTCCTCAGGCTCTCCTGACAGTGCTCCCACAGGCAGTGATGCCAGATTCCAAAATACGCTTAACTGCGGTTCTCTTAAGTAGGTGAGAAGACGGCTGGAGGGTTGGCACAATAGCACAGCAGGGAGGGCAGCCTGCTTTGCACCCGGCAGACCTAGCTTCTACCTCCAGCACCCCCTCTGGTGTCCCGAGCCCCCGCCAGGGGTAAGTCCTGAGCACTGCCGGATGTGACCCCCCCCAAACAAGAAAAGAACAGGGTGGAGACGGGGCTTAAGTGGTAGAGCCAGGACCCAAGCTCAATCCCTACACTGATGCCAACCCCCACCACACACCCACTTCCCAGCTCTGACAGGTATGGCCTCACAAAAAATACGCCAGGGGCACCCCTCTAGAGTCACTCACGATCCAACTCAGTGTGGCATTTTCTTGCTTTCTTTTTTGCTTTTTGGGCCACACCCAGCAGCGCTCAGGGGTTACTCCTGGCTCGGCACTCAGGGATCACTCCTGGCCCAGCTCAGGGGACCATATGGGTTGCCGGAAGTTGAATCCGGGTGAGCCGCATGCAAGGAAAGTGCCTTCCCTGCTGCACTATCTCTATGGTCCCTCTTTACCTGATATTATAGGACTGTCTCCTCTTTTAAATTTCCTAAATGTAAGTAAAGTAAAGGCCCTCCCGTTGTTCATCAATTTGCTCGCGCGGGCCCAGTAACGTCTCCATTGGAGATTTTGTTGTTACAGTGTTTGGCATATCGAATACATCATGGGTGGCTTGCCAGGCTCTGCCGTGTGGGCGAGATACTCTCGGTGGCTTTCCGGGCTCTCCGAGAGGGGCGGAGGAATCGAACTCAGGTCGGCCATGTTGGCTGCATGCAAGGCAAACGCCCTACCGCTGTGGTATCGCTCCAGCAATTTTTTTTAAAAAAAAGATAGGAAGAGGCTGGAGATACAGTAAGGCTCTTGTCTTGCATGTAGCCAACCCCAGTTCAATTGCTGGAACTGCCTATGGTCCCCCGAACACAGCCAGGAGTGACCCATGAGCAAAGAGCCACAAACAGTCCCTGAACGCTGCCAGGTATGACCCCCATCCTATGGCCCCTAACAAGCCAAAAATGATGCAATATGCACCGAGAGAAAGAGGCCAGTCTGCCCGCTCTGCGGCTGCCCTGCACGGCCCATGCTGGCGGATAGCCTTGCTGTGCTTCCGCTTCGGTGCCAAGGATCCAAGCCAGGGTTTTACACATGTAAAACCTGTGCTCCCCCATCAAACCGTCTGCCACACGAAAGCCTTTGAACTAGTGAGCTTTCATCTTCTTTAAAAACAAATACACGGGGTTAGAGTACAGTGACCGCACAGTTTTGATTGCTGTAAGCCCATTTGGTCCCTAAACCCCGCTGGGAGTGTCCCATGAGAGCAGACCTAGGAAAAAGACCTGCGCACTTGTGACTCCAAAAACAAAACACAAACACAAAATCAGGGCAGATGTCGAGTCCAACTTTGCCAGCAAACACATCGGGGGGGCAGCCCTGGATGGAATATGGCTCTGGCTTGGGTCTGACCATCTTCAAAGCAACCACCACCGAAACACTCTTCCCCTCTTTATCTACTGAAAGGGAGCAGGGTTGGACATTTGATGTCACTACGAAGAACTTCAGATGCACATGGAATGCAGGACCATCTCCCTGCCACCCAGAGGCCAGGACGACTGGGTCGAGAACAAACCGAATCCGATTCTGATGCTTTCCTCGCTCCTGGCACCAGGAGTGGCACCTGGCAGACGGCAGGCCTCCATGCACAGGAGTCAACCAACCATCAGGGTGGCAGCCCCTGGGGAAAGCCGTCCTGCCCTCCTTCATCCCTTCCCGGGCACAAATGCCAGCTCGCGGGATCCTGCTGAGGCTCACGGCTGGCCCTGTCTGAGAGCCTTGGCACAGCCCCTGGATGCAATCGGTCACGTGCAGCTGGGACTTAACTGCACACAGACAATGATGTCGATCAGTCTGTTCACTTCACTTCTACCAACAAGGGAGTATGGTGTTGGGGTGGCAGGGAAGGCGTTTCCCTTACACGCAAACGAGCCCCAGTTCATCCCTGGCACCACATTTGGTCCCCAAGCATGGCCAGGAGGAAGCCCTGAGCCCTGCAGAATGTGCCCCCCCCCCCAAATAATGAAACCAAACAACCCCCAAACCCTGAGAGGTGGTAAGAGGTGTGTGTCCCACGGCTGGCTCTACGGCACCACCAGGCAGGCAGCCGCTGCTTCTGGTGCACCTAGGAGGTACCGAGTGATTGTTTCTCTGAAAGGGGCAGGTAAGCCAAGGAAGTGAGGGCACGTAGGACCAGGCCAGCGCACATACCTGTTTTTCTTCATGATATGCTCAAAGGGTCTCAGAAAATCTTTCTGGAAACGGAAGTTGGCTAATTCTCCCTTCTCAAGGAACTTCATCGAGAGCTGCCGTAAGGAGTCCACAGCGAAGATGGCCACGTCTTCGTTGGGGTTACAGCCAACCTGAGCAGGGACAAGAAGCCAGGTGAAGTGGGGGTACAGGGGTTCTGGACTTGAAAGTGGATGGCCAGCCCAGCCTCCACACGAAGGCTCTGGAAAAACCTAGCCGAGGAGAAAGGAAAAAACCACTTCCTGGCCACAGCCTGCACAATTTAAAGTATAAAGACTAGTGCTGTGCACGTAATGTATCTTCAAAACTGTGCTGCTTAGTATTCCAAAAGTCGAGGCAAAGAACAGCACAGACAAAACCCGCCACCTTAACCATCGTCAGGCCCACAAGTTGGCAGTACTAAGAACATCCACTGCACTCACTGTGCAGGTAGGATTTTTTTTGGGGGGGGGTCACATCCAGTGATGCTCAGGGGTTACTCCAGGCTCTGCACTCAGGTGCTACTCCTGGCGGTGCTTGGGGGACCCTGTGGGATGCCAGGGATAGAACTTGGGTTGGCTGCGTCCAAGGGAAACACCTTATCCACTGTACTATGCTCCTGTGCAGCTATTTTTGAGATTTGTTTTCATTTTGTAAATCTACAAAGCTCAAGTGTCCCCCCCTCCTTTTTTTTTTTTACTTTTAATTTTTTTTTTGGCCACACCTGGCAATAGTGAGGGCTCTGTGCCACAGCTGGCTGCGGGTCATGGCTCACTGTCCACAGTGCTGGGGGGACCGTCTGGGATGTTGGAGATTGAACCCAGGCTGGCTACACACACACACACACACACACACACACACACACACACACACACACACATTTTTTGGCCACACCCAGCAGTGCTCAAGGGATATTCCACTCTGCTCAGGTGTGACCCCGGATGGCTCTTGGGGGCCATGTGTGCCGCTGAGGACGCAGACCAGGGACGGAGGGATGCAAGGCAGTTGCCTCTGCACGATCTCTCCGGCCCCTACAGGGCCTTTTTCCATGCTGAGGCTCAGAACCAGGTCCGGGCTCGGGTTGAAGGGATTAGGGGCTTTCATATCCGCCCACATCTGTCACCCAACGCACATGGTTATTAATACTGTCTCCACTACCAAATTCAGCAGAAATACTGAGACGTTCAGATTTCCTTAAAATTGCATTTTTTTGAGGGCTGGAGAGATAGTACAGCGGGCAGGTCGCTTGCCTTGCACAGAGCTGACCTGGGTTCGACTCCTGGCACTCCATATGGTCCAAGTACCTCCAGGAGCAATTTCTTTGGCAGAGCCAGGGTAAGCCCTGAGCGCTACTGGGTATGGCCCAATAACAAACCAAAAAATTGTATTTGGGGGGGCTGGAGAGATAGTACAGGCATGGTGCCTCCTGCCTGCACGAGGCTGTCCCGGGTAAGATCCCCAGCACCAGTACCACACTGAAAACACACACAGACACACACCCAAGACAAACGGAAACAATACTGTCATCTACACTTCTATAAGTACATATGTGCATGGAAAAATATCTGGAAAGATATGTACTGATAGTGCTAAGAATAACTAGCTTTGGGTGGTGCTAATCAAAAGTGTTTTTAGGGCCGGACAGTACAGGGGTTATGACTCCTGTATGCAGTGAACCCCAGTACAATCCCCAGCTGCCCGAAGCCCGCAGCACAGCTGGGTATGGACCACTGCCCCCCAGAAAGGGTGTTTCGAGTTATAATTTTTTAATTATCTCTTTGATGTAGGCATTGTGATGGAAAGATTCTAATGAAAGTTCCAGACAATGTTCTAAATCCACCATCAGCGTCAGTGCCCTCCACCAGTGATCCAATGTCACTTTCTTTTTACAGGGAGATGCATTCATGGGATAAGAAACAAGTTAGAAAAAAAAAAAGAAAAGAAAAAATGGGGTTGAAGAGAAAAGACAGTAGGCAGGCACTTGCCTTGCACGTGGCCAACCCAGGCTCGATGCCTGGCACCCCATTTGGTCCTCTGAGCCCTGCCAGGAGTCATCCCTGAGCGCAGAGCAGGAGAAAGTCCCGAACACTGCAGGGTGTGGGCCCAAAACAAACAAAAATAAAATAGATAAAAATATTCTCCCAGGGTGAGGCAGGCAATACAGGGGCTAACATCTTGCATATGGCTGACGCAGTTTTGACTCAGCACCACCTGGTTCTCTGAGCATCACCCTAGAAGCCCCCGAGCACTGCTGGGGTGAGGGCCGAGCACACTGCACCCCCACACCCACATCAGGCCGGGCAGCCGAGAAACGCTGCGCAGGACCCCGGGTCTCCCGAAGCCCTGCCTGGGAGCTGGGGAGAGATGGACTGTTCCCCTGGGCTGGGCTGCTTGCCGTGCGGAGCGAGGGGCTGGCACTGCCCGTGTGAGCCCAGCCACCTCGACTAAGAACGTGACGCTGGACGAGGCAGCTCCAACAAAAGGGAGAGAGAGAGCAAGACCATCCCTCGCCTTAAAACCCGGGTGGATGTGGGAATTCCGGCTTTAGGATGTGCTGGAGCGGCAGCTCTGCACCCCCAGGATACACAGGGAAGCTGGCCCGGGAAGGCGGGCTGCTGGGTCGACCCTGCTAGCTGGAGGACCAAGGGCCAGCGGGACCCAGCCATGCAGTTCTTTAACCCCATGACACGTTCCCGAGACTCCCGTGCACTGGGGCCCGAGGCACTCGCTTCCTGATGGGGAGAAGGAGGAAGAGCCGCAAGCGATCAATGGAGGGGTCAGTGCTTCTGCCAAACAGCACTGGTCAGCCGGAACAGACTGTCATCAGGAAGCTGCCAAGCCTGACAGAGTCTCTAAGTACCACCTTCCCGTCTGTGCCCTGTGCTTGTCCCAGCGTGGCCCAGGGACAACGGAGACTGCAGCGGACAGTCCAGAGAGCAAAATCTCCAGTGGAAAACAGAAGATCCCTCCCAAATAAGGAGTCACGGAAGTAAACACGGAGCCCGGGCTTCGAAGAGCCAGGAAAGTGTCTGCCAAAACACATCACTTCTGCCAAAACCAACGGATCATCGTTTCCGAGAGAACAAAGGTTTCCACAGCTCCCAGCCGAGCGCGCGTGTGGGGACAAAGGGGCACTGTGTGCGCTAGCTGAGCTGTCACGGGCTGGGACAGGAACCCGGGGTCCAGTCAAGATCTGCTTCTTCATTTTCAGTTCGCATCAGCTGACTGGCCCAGAACAGTGAGAAAGGGGCCGAGCTGAGCCGGGGGACCCTCTGCACAGTCGATCTGGCCGGGTCACCCGCAGGGGCGCTGGCCCTGTCTCCTAGCAGTGGTTCCAGTGGAAGTCCCCCTCCAGAGAGGCCCTCCCTGACGGTGGCTGGCAGGTCCTGAGGGCACTGCCAGGACCATTATCTCACTTGTCTGCACACTGCCTGGCACACAAACGCAGGCCAGAAGCTACCGTCGCCTGAGCTGATAAGGGAATACGGGAAACAAAGAACTCTGATGAGCCCGTTAGGGGAACCAAGCTTTCATAATGCCTCACTCTGGACACACACGGACACACACACACGGACACACGGACACATACGGACACACACACACACACACACACACACACACACACACACACACACACTTATGTTCTTGTAGTCAATGCTCAGAGGCAATTTTCTCTTATTTCTTTGGATTGGGGCCACAACTGGCGGTGCTCAGGGATTATTCCTGGCTGACTTGGGGGACAATATGGGATGCTGGGGACAGAACCAAGGTCAGTCACATATAAGGCAAATGCCCTAATTGCTATCACTTCAGTCTCTCTCGCTGTTATTATTATTTTTTTTGAGGGGAGGGCCACACCCAGTGATGCTCAGGACTACACTAATCTGCACTCAGGGATCACTCCTGGTGGTGCTCAGGGAACCACATGGGAGACTGGGGATTGCAGCCGGGTCAGCCACACACAAGGCAAACACTTTTCCGGGTGTACTACTGCTCCGGCCAAGATAAATTAATTGTAAACATGATAAAAAAATTTTTTTTAAAGAGGGGACAAACTCAGCACAGCACTCAGAGCTGGAGTGATGGTACAGTGGGAGGGCGTTTGCTTGCATGTGCTCGACCGGGTTTGATCCCCAGAAGCCCATCTGCTTCCCCACGCACTGCCAGGAGTGATCCCTGAGCACAAAGCCAGGAGTAACCCCTGAGCACCAACTGGTGTGGCAGAAGCAGAAGAAGGAAGGTACTGGGGGCCGTTTCTATTTGTAAGCCTCTATATTATAGTCATCTCTAGGCCTGAACAAATGTTTCTGAAGCTCTAAAGTCAACTTTGTAAGAAAAAGCATTATAACGCTCTTACTTTTCTCTCAAGAAGCAAACGACACTGGGGCCAGAGCAACGGTACAGCAGTCGCCTTGAATGTGGTTGAGCCGGGTTCGATCCCAGCGCCCCCTATGGTCCCCCAAGCCCCACCACGAGGGATCCCTGAGCACAGAGCCAGGAGCAAGCCCTGAGCACTGCTGGGTGCGGCCCCAAACAAAACACAAACGAAAAAGGAGAAATGATACCATCACAGGGCACATATATTCTCCTTCTGATTTCTTTCTTTCACTTTTTTTTCCTTTTTGTGTCACACTCATCAATGTTTCTGGCTGCCTCCTGGCTCTGTACTCAGGAATTACTTCTGGCAGTGCTTGGGGGACCATATGGGATGCTGAGGGTTGAACCCTGGTTGGCTGCGTGTGAGGCAAAAGCCCTCCCTGCTGTACTATCACTCCAGCCCCTCCCTCTGACTTCTTCTGTTCAATATATGGATATGTATAAAATCTCCACTGAAAGGAATTCAGTCTAGTTTTTTTTCTGTCACTATTAAACATATGCGACTTTGGCTTACTTCTGCTTTTGAAACAAATGCTATTTTTCTTAACAAAGATTTTAGAGGAATAACAGCAGGAAGCCAGAATATGAGAAGCAACAATATTTAACAGGGGAGTGAAGTCTAATCTTTGGTCATTCAAAAGGCACTGGATGATCTTACAATGTTTTAACTTTGCAAATCCTGGTGCCTTAATATTAAAAAAGATTTCTATTTTTTTAATGTAAAAGGTCTTCATATTTAAGAAAAAATTTTTGTAATATTTTAAAACACCAACCCATAAGGCTGTCCGTATGATGCTGGTGTTGTGACCCTCTAGCCAGGATATGGGATCATAAGATACTCGATACCATTTTGCTTTCTGGGTCTCTGGGTTCTGTCATAAGTAAGTATACGCTACTGAGCTTGGCTGCGCTATAAGAGAAAATGAACTACAAGCGCCTAAGGAATAGGGCCAATTTCCCAGACCTTCTTTTTGTGAATCCAGTTGCCTTTTATTTATTTATTTATTTATTTATTTATTGGGGGGGGTCCCCCACACCTGACGATGCACAGGGGTCACTCCTGGCTCTGCACTCAGGAGTTACTCCTGGTGGTGCTCAGGGGACCATATGGGATGCTGGGAATCGAACCCGGGTCGGCCGCGTGCAAGGCAAACACCCTACCCGCTGTGCTATCACTCCAGCCCCCTTTTTTTTTTTAATGTTTGGGGGCCGTGGACATTGACGGCGTGGCTTTCTAGCGAGAATAGCGAGAAGTCACCTTATTGAAGTGGTCTCCGATCACGTGCCATATTCGCGACCACTGGAGGCGGATCCGGTTCATGTTGTAGTAGGAGATCTCCACGATCTTCTGCAGGCTGAACATGCGGGGGTGATGGGGGGAGGCCAGCTCGTCCATGGACACGGCGCACAGCCAGCGGACAAAGTCAACTGCAGAGCCGGCGGCAGACAGGAGGTCTGTTAGTAATGCTCAGGGGGTCCCGGGCGGGCTTCTGGAACTGTCACCGGGGAGTGACATACATACCTATGGCGTTTCCGTCCAGTCTGGTGGATCCAGTAAAAATCCTAGGGAGATAATTCCAGACACAGGAAAATAAAGTCAGATCTGAAAGGTGGAATTTCCAGCTCAAACACTCCGAAAAGGTTAAGAGAGGAACAAGTTCAGCCTTGCACCTCCTCTGAAATGAATGAATGATGAGGCACCAAAAGCATGAAACTAGCCAATGGGTCGAAACAAGAATAGCCCGCTTAGCCAGCTCTCACTCACAGCGGCCTTCGAGGCCTAAAGCGTTCTTGAGGGGCCTGAAGCTAGGACAGCGAGGGAAGGCATTTGCCTTGTGTGCAGTCAACCCAAGTTCCATCCCCAGCACCCCTGTGGTCCCCTGAAACCATCAGGCTGTGGCCCAAAAGCAAAAAAAAAGGGGGGGGGTGGATTCTTGAGACGGTCATAAAGGTACTTTCTACTGAACCAGAAAGATAGTACAATGGGTAAGGCACTTGCCTTGCACATAGCCAACCCAGGTTCGATCCCCAGCACCCATAAGTTGCCCTGAGCCCTCCAGGAGTAAGCAGAAAAGCAGGAGTAAGCTTTGAGCACAGACGGGTGTGACCCCAAAACAACAATAACACAAAAGCACAACTTATAACAGTTGAGATTTAAAAACAGCCCCAGTGTCTTTGAATGGATGAGTGGATAAAGATGGCGATACACAGGGGCCAGAGAGATAGTACAGTGGGTAAGGTGTTTGCCTTGAACACAGGTGACCTGGGTTCAAGCCCCGGCACCCCATAATGTCCCCCCTGAGCACTGCTAGGAGTGATCTGTAAGCTCAGAGCCAGGAGCAGGCCCTGAACACTGTCAGGTACGGTCCCCAAACCCAAACATATGATGCACACACACAACAGACTACGACTCAATTATGAGAAAAGAAATCTACTTTGTTTCAACTTGGAAACCAGGTGTCACACTAGGTAAGGTGAGTCAGAAGGAGAACAAGAAGAATGATCTCACTTACATGTGGAACATAGAGAAACATGCAACAGTGGCCGCTGAAAACCAACCCCAAGATTCTGCCAACTAAACCAATATTACGGTTGGCATTCTAGCGACAGGTGTGGTGGAGTAACACTATGCCTAGAACAGCAACTTACTACTAATGAAAATCAAATTATCTCATGCTAAAAATAACAAAAAAAAACCACAGCAAACCATGAGCCAAGCCACACTTTTGATAAAATCCTGTCACGTGCAGCTGTAGCTTGTCTTATTTTGTTTTGGGTCATATGAGCTGTGCCTAGGGTCACTCCTGTTGTTCGGGAAGCATCTGTGGCATGTGGGGTTGAGCTGCAGGAGGCCGTGTACGAGTCAAGTCCCTTATCCCGGTATCAGCTCACAAGCTCTAAATTTCTAAGATTTTAGTTTTGGGCTATACCCAGTAGTTGCCCCAGGGGTGCCGGGGTTCATATATCCAGATCCTGGGGCTACTGCACGCAACTCAAGTGCTTTGAACCTCTGACCATCTCCCTGGCTTAAAAAAGTGAATGATTTGCTGTGTATGGGGGGAGGGGGATGCGTGGGGGATGGGGGGAGACTTGAGTCACACCCAGTGGTGCTCAGGAGTGACTCCTGGCAGTGATCAAGAAATCCGATGTGACACTAGGAATCAGACTGAGGTCAGCTGCCTGCAAGGCAAAAACGCCTTGACCCCTGTCTAATTGCTCCCAAAAGTTAAAATATTTTGAGTCAAGAACAAAATTCCAATGAACGTGAAGGCGGCCACTGCCTATGGCCCAAGCAGGCCACTTTCACTCGTCCTTTTTCAGCTCAAGCAATCAGGAGCTGGGCGTCCAGGGGTCAAACCCGGCCGGAATCGTTCACACCCAGTGACACCACCGATGATGCCCAGCCACTGGGCACAAGTGTCTCACACCTCTTCACAGTAGCGCAGCTTCCCTGGAGAGGAGAACCGTTACCTGTCCACGGCTACAACCACACTCTGAGAGCTGGTCTCTCCAACTGACTCCTGGAAGCTGGCCATCTGTCTTTTATCCACTCCGCCGCTCACCAAAGTACCTGAAATAATGCACACGATCAGTGACAGCTCAGGAAGGGTTACAGGTTTTCAACAAAATATTCTGTGGCATCAATGTGCAGAGTGACAAGACATAAATGAAAACAGTCTGCAGGCAAAAATCCCCTCAACTGGAACACCAAGTGGAGGGTGTTTGGAGGATCCTCCCAGGAGGGGAGATGCAGGTTGAAAGTAGACTGGACTGAACATGTTCGCCACTCAATGCCTCTTTGGCTGATCACAGCGCCCAGGAGGAGAGAGAGAACAGGGGGGAATGCCCTGCCACAGTGGCAGGGGGGGATGGGGGGATGGGAGGATGGGGGGGGAGGGATATTATCCTGGTGGTGGAAAATGGGCACTGGTGGAGGGATGGGTATTTGATCGGGGTATGACCGAGATCCAAGCACAAAAATTTGTAAATCTACAACTGTACCTCATGTCGTTTCACTAATAAAAAAAAAAAAAAAGACATAACGCAAAGTCAAATATATTTTAGAAATTTAATTTTGAACATTTATCATTTTATCTAATTATAGCAAAAAGAGTTAAACATAAAACTATTCTGTTAAGTATAACTAGCTTGAGTTTTATCTTTAATCAGCCATAATTTAAGTTCTATATCTCTGACTATAATATTGGAGTAAATTCTAATACAAAATATATAATTTCTGTCTATTACATATATGTAGATGTAAGACTATGCATGAACATATATTCTATTTGAACCAAATTTTCCATTTGTCTCTGTGCTTTAATTTTTCCACTGGAGAAAAAAATATGGTGAGATAAATAAACTTGTGTTTTGAATTTCAAAAAAAAAAAAAAATCCCCTCAACTGATGTTAGAACAGAAGTGAACTTAGACAGTACAGTGGGTAGGATGTTTGCCTGCAATACAAGTAACCCAGGTTTGAGCCCCGGCATCCCATATGGTTCTGCGAGCACTGCCGGGAGTAATTCCTGAGTGCAGACTCAAGAGTAACCCCTGAGCATTGCTGGGTGTGATCCCAAGCCCTCCCACCCAAAATAAAAATAAAAGTGAACTCAGAGGGGTCAGAGCAGTAATACAGCGGGTAGGGTCCTTGCCGTGTGCGATGCTGACTCAGATTCAATCCCTGAAAATCCCATATGGTCTCCCAGGAGTGATCACTGAGAGCAGAGCCAGAAGTAAGCCCTGGGCACTGCTGTGTGTGGCCTCCAAAAATAAGAAACAAAACCAAACAAAAAGTCAGCTTAGAATCAGCCAGCACTGTCAGCAGTGCGCCCTGAGCAGAGAGCTGGGAAGAGCTCCCAGGAGCTCTTGGCATGGCTCAAAAACAACAAACAGGAAATTTAGAAACTAACTTCAACTGTATTTTCAATACGCTCTCTGATGGGAGAGATGGCCCAGAGGGCTGGAGTGCGCGCTGCAAGACAAGGCCCAATGATCCCGATCATGGTCCCGAGTGATGCCTGAGCACTGAGCCAGGAGCAGCCCTGAGACCGCTGGACAGGGGCCCCAAATAAAACAAATAAACAAAAAAACCTTTTTTTTTTTTTACAAGTTTCTTGTGTTTGTAGAAGTAGAATTTTGCACGAAGGAGACGGTAGTCCGATCCCGTTCGAAATTTTGGGACAACAGCGACATCAGTCAGGCAAAACCGTCGATTGAATATGATGTGGACTATTTCGTTGTGGAATCGTCCACCGGGAGACTCCCATGTCCATCGTTTAGATTCTGCCTTCTGGAACTGTGAGTTACCATGAATGGTCTTGGTCGACATGATGAACTCAGACAGTCTCTCACCCTGTTCGTTCCATTCTAGGCCATGGGTCCCGATGTGAAGTTCTTCAGCTGATCTTCTCGGTCCTATCTTGGCATTAAAATCACCCACAATGATCTTGTAGAAGGTGTGGTCTTCTTTATAGAACTTCTCTAGCTCCATGTAGAACTTCTCGATTTCTCTTTCATCATAATGAGATGTTGGTGCGTAGACAACGAAGATAGAAACTGCAGGCAGTGAGCCACATCTATTCAAATGTAAACGTCCGATTCGGGTTGTTAGGCATTCGAATGAATCAATGCTCTTGGCCAAGTTTGTGTTGACAAGGACACCGACGCCTCCAACACCTCTTTTATCGCATGTTCCGAGGAACAATTCTTCTCCAGTGTCGAAAACGGCATGGTGAGATTCGTGCCTTCTTGTCTCGGTCAGACCAATGATGTCGTACTTGATCATTCGCGCTTGTACCATCAGGTCCTCGATGGATGCATCTGATGCTGGCGTATGTGCATTGAAAGTACAGACGATCATTTTTGTCTTCCTTCGTTGTGGCAGCCTACATCGACCTTGAGATTTTGTCGGCCTCTCCTTTCTCATCCTTCTCAGTGCTGCCATGTCGGTGAAGCCTTCAGGGTCAGGTGAATGAGACCAGTTGTAGTTACTGGTTTTGGCATATCGAATACACAGCGGATAGTTTGCCAGGCTCTTCCGTGCGGGCGGAATACTCTCGGTAGCTTGCCAGTCTTTCCGAGAGACAGAGCGGGGAGAAAGGGCTGCAAAGTTCAAAAAGAGAACTCCCAGAATGACCACCAACTGGGAACTCTTTGGTACTATTGCGGCAACATGGGAAGATGCCATTGTTGACAACATTGACGAGGAATACGATCGACTGGTTCAGCACCTCCATGAATGTGCGAGGAACGCCAAGAGAGAGATAGCCACAAAAAGTCGCCTATCTTCGAAAACTCTTGAGCTAATTCGCCAGCGTGGTTTGGCGCATGCCTCTGGCAACCGCAAGCTAACGTCCGAGCTTGCAAAGCAGTGCAGAGATGCGATCAAGGAAGACCTCAAAGAGAGAAGAGCAGAAGTACTGGTAGATGCGGCAGAAGCCGGGAAAAGTATTCGTAACGCCCGCCTGTCCTTCGCCAACTATAAGACCAAGATGACTGCCCTCCGACGTCCTGATGGATCCATCACATCCTCCAGAACGGCAATGGAGAAGATTATCCATGACTTCTACTCAAATCTCTTCGATAGCCATGTCCACTTGCCGACATACCAAATTCCACAGGATGGGTATGTCGTTCCTAACGTTCTCCCTTCCGAAATCCGACACGCCATTTCGTTGGTAAAGAAGCAAACAGCACCCGGCCCAGACAAGGTCAGACCTGAATACCTGAAGAACCTGCCGTCAGTACTCATCAATACACTGGCTCGGCTCTTCACTCGCTACCTGTCTGAATGCAAGGTTCCGTCCCAATGGAAAACCAGCAGGACCGTACTACTGTTCAAGAAGGGAGACATCCATGACATTGGCAACTATCGCCCGATCTGCCTATTGTCTGTCATCTACAAGCTGTTCACTCGAGTCATCCTGAATAGGATTGGCAGAACACTAGATGAAGGACAACCATGCGAGCAAGCAGGGTTCCGCAAAGGATTCAGCACCATCGACCATATCCACACGATAACCAAGCTCATTGAGGTTTCTCGGGAGTTCAAGATGCCGCTCTGCTTAACGTTCATTGATTTAAAGAAGGCCTTTGATTCTGTTGAGACAGAAGCGGTCATTGAAGCCCTAGCCAATCAGGGCATTCAAGCCCAATACATCAGGATCCTCCGTGAGCTGTATTGCGGATTCACTACCAGGATCTCACCATTCTACAAAGAAGTGATCGTTGATGTCAAGAGAGGGGTGCGGCAGGGTGATACCATTTCACCAAAACTCTTCAGTGCCACCCTCGAGAACATCATGCGACGACTGGAATGGGAAGGAATGGGAGTGAAGATAGATGGTCGGCAACTACACCACCTCCGCTTTGCTGATGACATTGTTTTAATAACACCAAACATCAGCCAAGCGGCACAAATGCTGGCCGACTTTGACCGTGAGTGTGGAAAGGTAGGACTACAGCTGAATCTTACGAAGACAATGTTTATGAGAAACAGCCTTGTTCCTGACGCCCCATTCGCTCTCAATGGAACGACCATCTCTGAATGCAACAGCTATGTGTACCTAGGTCGAGAGGTCAACATGACAAATGACCTGGCACCCGAGCTGCGCAGGAGGAAGAGAGCGGCTTGGAACGCCTTCAAGAACGTCGAAGAAATAGCTAAGAGGACGAAGAACCTCCGGCTCCGGGCACATCTCTTTGATTCCACTGTTCTTCCTGCATTAACATATGCCTCAGAGACCTGGGCCCTACGCAAACAAGATGAGAACGCCATTCAGGTCTCCCAAAGAAGAATAGAAAGAGATATGCTTGGAATATCACGTTTCACTCAAATGAGAGAACGAATCCGGAGTTCTGACATCCGTCGACGATCAAGGATCAGGGACGCTGTCTCATATGCCAAGGTGTCAAAAATCAGATGGGCTGGTCACGTAATGAGATTTAAAGAAGACCGTTGGACTAGAGCTGTTACTGATTGGATTCCACGGGATGTCAAGAGACCGCGTGGCCGCCCACCTACCAGATGGTCAGACTTCTTTGTCAAGATCATGAACGATCGGTTTGAGGCCCTCCATGTTCCCGGAGCGAAGAGATGCCATTGGGCTACACTAGCACGCGACAGGGACAAATGGAGACGTTACTGGCGCCCGCTCGAGCAAATCGACGACTAACGGGAAGTTAAGTGATTAAGTGACTTGTGTTTGTACCAAGCTTCTGCCTTTCTTGTGTATTCATATAAAACTTATAGGTAGAAAATTAATTAAGAATTGTTGCTAATGCAGCGTTCCTGTAACATCGTGGCTTACACCCAGCCACCGTAAATCTGGAAACATTCTTATCTGGGAACCCTGGGAACTCATCCCAGTCACCCTCCTGTGTACCCTGAGACAGAGGTGCCACCTTAATCCCTCATTTTCAGGGTCCTTGTGCTTAACTATTACCCTAGATGACGCTGACCCCTGTGGGTTTGGACCCTGAGGCCAGTTCTCTACAAATGGCCTGGGTCTGACACTGTCCCAGCCACTTCCTCGCCATGTGACCTGCTTTGTGCCACCACGACCTTGGCTCATGCCTCCATTTCCTTGTCTGTCACGTGCAGCAACAGTCTCAGCCTTGCTAAGATGCCACAAGGACTGAAGCAGCTAAGGAACAGAACTGAAATTAGTGTGAGGCACGTTGGCTTGGCCCCTGTGCTGTGATCACTCTTATTCTGCCACATGAGTGGACAAGAAAGTTTCTCAGTTCAGTGCGGAGCCAAAACAAATTCAACTTTGATTCAGAACACCACTGAATGATTTATTTTTTTTTCTGCTTTCAGGCCACACCCGGTGGTGTTTAGGATTTACTCCTAGCTCTGTGCTCGGGACCATGCCTGATGGGGCTCGGGAGACCACATGTAGTGCAGGGATTAAATGCAGGTCTGTTGCATGCAAGGAAAACCACAACCTACTGCACCATGGCTCGGGCCCTGAATTGTTTACCTAAAGCCCCTAAACAGACATGGAAGTGGTGCTGGGTCTTCCTCCCGCCATCTAGAGCCTCACACGGCCACGCAGGCAGTAAGTAGCCTCTCCAAAGCAAACGGCTCCCAGCCTGCCTTCCAGTCACAGCTCATCACAACTGGGATCTGGGGCAGCACGTTCACTCTCACACATAAATGTACATCAGCTGGCACGTAGGAAGGGATGGTCGTACGACACGTGCCGAGGCCTGCTGGCTTCCCCCGGGTGTGGGCCACTGTGGGCCGTGCTTACCGAGACCGAGACCCATGAACTCGTCTCCCGCCGACATGTGGCCCTTCAGGCCCCCTTCCCTTTCGCGCCCCGACCCGGAAAGGTAGCGGGTCTTCACGCCGGTTCCGATCAGCTGCGCAAGCTCCAGCTGGCTGATGCACTTCAAGATCTGAGAGAGAAGGAGCCACACGGTCAGTCCTCACTGCACAGCCAGAAAACGGCTCGGCCGTCTGCAGGGAGTCTGCAGATGGCGTCTGGCTGGGTCAGTTAGCCCGCCATATGTGGGTCCTGAGGACAGATCATGTGACACACCTTGGGACTGATTTAAAAGAGAAAAGACTAAGCTCAGATAAGACCCCCAGGTCAAGCTGATGAGACTCAGGCCTACTCCAGGATTTTGGGTGAAACCTCGGGATGCCTTCGGAAGGGAGACAGGCCAAGAATGAGCCCAGTTCTACAGATCTTGGTGCTCCTGGAATGCACGACCTCATATGTGGCCACGCAACACCTCCAATTTCCTCAATACTGACAGCCCGGTAGGAGCACAGCAAATTAGACAGGAAAGCAGCATAGAAGCCAACTAAGCTCAATAAACACAGACGGCTCAACTAGCACCAGACAGTGCAGGAAGTCCTCAATGACTTTAATGAGATAAAACAATTTTCAAAAGCTTCCTTTTGCTGAACTGTTTTTTGATAATCCCACTTACCATCTTGCTGTAACAAGCAATATGAAATAAAGTGATTTGTGCCTGCAAGGGGGGAAGGCTGGGGGTGGGTAGAAAGCTGGAGACACTGGTGGAGGGAAGGTCACACTGCTGCTGGAATATTAAATGCCTCAAACAACTCTATCATGAACAACTTTGTAAAGCACAGTGTTTAAGTAAAGTTTTTCTTTTTTTAAAGAAGAGCAAAAAAAATGCAATAAATAAAAGGGAGGGGCTGGAGTGATAGTACAGTGGGTAGGGCATTTGCCTTGAAAGCGGCCAACCCAGGTTTGATTCCCAGCACCCAATATGGTCCCCTGAGCACAGCCAGGAGCAATTCTGAGATCAGAGCCAAGAGTAACTCCTGAGCATTGCCAGGTGTGACCCAAAAAGAAAAATAAATAAAAGGGAAAGAGAAGAGAAAGGATTGGGGGAATGTCTCAAAGGGCTGGATCATGGGGGCTGGAGAGCACAGTGGCTGGGGCATTTGCTTTGCATGCGGCTGACCTGGGTTCGATCCCCAGCACCCCATATGGTCCCCGAAGCCCCGCCAGGAGTAATCCCTGAGCACTGAGCCAGGAGTAACCCCTGTGAACCGCTGGGTATGGTTCCAAAACAAACAAACAAAAAAAAAAAAAGGAAAGAAAGTCAGACTTCAAGAAGAAAAGAAAATGACCTAAGAGAGATGGTGCTGAGCACAGGCTGTCAGGCCGTCTGAGCAGCACAGACGTACCTCGTGCCAGGAGTTCCCCAGGTAGTTGCCGTCGGTGTGCGCCACGGTGATGAGGGTCTTGATGGTGTCGATGTTCTTCTGCTTCATCTCTGTGATGCTAGAGCTGGCTGTGAGCAGGGAGAAGCGGGCGAGAGCCTGCACGTAGGCGTCGCGTTCCAGCTGCACGGGAAAGAGACCGATCCCGCCCTGAGCACGGCCTATCGCATCTGCCAGACGAGCACGGGCCACTCACCCGTCTCAGAACTGTACTTCATTTGCTGTCATTTTTTATACCTGACAATGGCCACAGGCATTTGTTTTGCATTGAACTGTTTGTTTACTTTAGGGAAGAAATAGAAATCAAGTGAATGAAAATAAATAAATAAAATTTTTTTTGGGGGGGCGGGGTTGCCAAGGCCTCACATACCTGTGAGTCTCTGTGGACAATCACAGGTCTGCTATTCCATGCTGGTGGCCTCCTTCCAGAACCTTCCTGAGCACCTGTTGAGCGCTAGCTTTCCCCTTTCCTACTAACCTCAAACGCAGGTTTCTCTCTCTCTTAGCTTCTTGCTTTCGTTTTGGGGCTACACCCACCAGCGCTCAGGGCTTACTCGTGGCTCTGCACACAGGAGCACTCACGTGGGATGCTGGGGATGGATCCCGGTTGGCCGTGTTGAGACAAGCGCCCTACCGGCTGTCCTATCTTTCTGGCATCGCAAATGCAGGTTTCGTGTTGCGTTTGTGATGGGGGAAGTGCGGGTGAGAGAAGTAAGTCAAACGCTGAGACCTTTACAACTAAATTCTGCAAGGTCGGCATGTTACCTCAGATTAATGAGAGCGGGGAAGGCACAGAGCCTGAGCGAGAGAGAGATGGCAGCGCTGGGCCAATGCCAGCTGGTCAGAGAAAGAGCAGAGCTGGGTCCGGGTTCAAAGAGGTGACTAAGCGCGGAGCCAAAGGGGAACAGAAGAGGGAGGGCGGCAGGGGAAGCGGGTGCGAATCTTCTTGAGAGGACGGATGAGCAATTGCTGCCTTCGTAAGTCTCGGAACTGTATTCCATTTGCTGTCATTTCTTATACTTGAGAATGGCCACAGGCATTTGTTTTGCATTGAGCTATTTGTTTATTTCAGGGAAGAAATAGAAATTAGGTGAATGATTAAAAAATAAATATTTTATTTGGTGGGGGGGGGTCGTTAGTGCCAAGGCCCCACACACCTCACAAACATGTAGGCATGTGCTCAGTCCCTGAGCCACATTCTTGGATCATAAAAACTGAGCTTAAAAAGAAAAACATCTGGGGCTGGAGCAATAGCACAGTGGGCAGGGCGTTTGCCTTGCACGTGGCCAACGCGGGTTCAATTCCCAGCATCCCCTAGGGTCCCCTGAGCACCGCCAGGGGTAATTCCTAAGTGCAGAGCCAGGAGGAACCCCTGTGCATTGCTGGGTGTGACCCAAAAAGGAAAAAAAAAAACAATCTAAGTATCAGGGCACTAGGCAGCTGGACAGAAAGGGTGTTTCTATTTTTTTTTTATTAGTGAAACACCACGAGGTACAGTTATAGATTTACAAATTTTTGTGCTTGGGTTTCAGTTATACAGTGATCAAGTACCCATCCCTCCACCAGTGCCCATTTTCCACCACCACGGGTCCCAGTATCCCTCCCACCCCCATCTCCCCAACCCACCCTGCCTCTGTAGCAGGGCATTACCTTTTGTTCTCTCTCTCCTTTTGGGTGTTGTGGTTTGCAAAAGAGGCCTTGAGCGGCAATCATGTTTGGTCTATAGTCTACTTTCAGCATGTTTCTCCCATCCTGGGAGGATCCTCCCAACACCCTTTATTTGGTGCTCCCTTCTCTATCTGAGCTGCCTTTTCCCCTAGCACATGTGGCTGGCCTCCAAGTCACAGAGCAAAATTCCTGGTGCTAATCTTGGTCACTCCTGGGTGTTAGTCTCCCATTATGTTACTCTATGTTCCCCAGATGAATGCAATCTCAGAAAGGGTGTTTCACCAAACCCGGTCAAGCACGGGACCTTCCTACTCTGAAAGGTTTCGATCCAAATCCCCAATTCTCCTAAAGGCAGCTACCAGCACTAACCTATGGGTTTTAAGACTCCCTCCCTCCCTCTCCTTTTCTCTTTCTTTCTTCTTTTTTGCCCACTGGCCTTTTCTAAGCGGTGCTGTACTGAATCTAAAAGCACACCGCCCATGCGCATTCTGGGAGGTGGGTCACTGCCTTGCACCCACCTGCATTCCGAAGATACAGGCGATGCGGATGGCACAGCGGATGCCTTCCAAGCATAGGGAGGCGACCTCAGTGTCGTCACAGTTCTGCAGGCCAATGCTGTAGGCTGCCAAAAGCGGCGTCCACACCAGCTGCAACGAAGAAAGGTCTCAGAAACATCTCAGATCGCAACACGGAGAGGCTACGTGGTCAGTCGGGAACACGGCCAGGACACAAGCTCATCATGACTTTGAGTTTCACCAAGGCCAGTCACAGGAAAGAAGAGCCGGTCCTAAACTCAGAACTGGGGCTATCGGTGTGCCATTTACTGACCAACAGTTCAAAGGGAAGGGGAGAAAATATAGTCACAGGATTTCTTCCTGTGCCCAGGGCAAACATCATGGCCCTACCAGGGCCACAATCCCTGCTGGGTCCACCTGGCACCGGGACCCCTCTGATACAGGCTGACAGGTGGTTATTACCCATCAGAGGTGGGCAGGTAAAATAAAATCTATAAGCTACTTATGGTCTGTATAAAGCACTGCAAGGCTCTTAAATTATTTGGATGCTACTTTTCCTTCGATTTTCTTGTGAATGCCCTGAAAAGAAAAGCTAATGGAAAGCAAGGAATGACCAGCTGAGCAGATACTGACACTCAGAACACATATTCCTCAGAGAAGCTGAGAGCAATGTAGCTAGTATTTCCGTATTTTCTAGCTCTTTTTTTTTTTTTTTTTTTTTTTTTTTGCTTTTTGGGTCACACCCGGCGATGCTCAGGGGTTACTCCTGGCTCATGCACTCAGGAATTGCCCCTGGCGGTGCTCAGGGGACCATATGGGGTGCTGGGAATTGAACCTGTGTCGGTCATGTTGGCTGCGTGCAAGGCAAACGCCCTACCCGCTGTGCTATTGCTCCAGCCCCTTCTAGCTCTTTTAAAAATAGATCTCAGGATGTATCCACTGCGCTGTCCTGTCCTCCCATTGTTCATCGATTTGCTTGAGCGGGGCCCAGTAATGTCTCCATTGTGAGACTTGTTGTTACTGTTTTTCGCATATCAAACACGACACGGGGAGCTTGGGAGGCTCTGCCGTGCGGGCAGGATATTCTCGGTAGCTTGCCGGGCTCTCCAAGAGGAACGAAGGAATCGAACCCGGGCTGGCCATGTGCAAGGCAAACGCCCTACCCACTGTGCTATCACTCCAGCTAGTCTGAAAATAGTGCGTGGTTGCAAGAAGAGCAGTGAGCTCTGAGACAATGAAACAGTCTCTGTGGCCTGAATGTCTATTAATTAATTCTCTTCTTCTCTCTTATTATTATCTTATTATTATTAATTATTTTCTAATTATTTCCACTACCCAGAAGCTCTTCCAGCAACGCTGCTGTCTGACTCCAAGTGTCAGCTGATGAGCAGAGCGGCGCAGGCACCTGACCAAGGTCACCGTGTGGTGAGGGTAGACCAGACCCAGAGTCGCCGGTGGTCATGCATGCGCCTGGTGCAGGCATTTGCTCAGGCTTGTAGGGACTTCGAGAAAGGACGCGCTTCAGTCACTGTGCTGAAAGAACCGTCCTCCCTTGCCCTTCTCCCTAACTGATTAATTAGAAACGGTCAGCTTCCGGCCGGCCCACCCCAGAACCAGGCTCGACCTCGCCCGGCCTGTCGGTGTGGGGTACTCACTTTGAACATGGGCCGCACGTGGTCCAGGTGCGTGGCACTCGTGAAGGGGGCCTTGGCATGGCTCACGGCCTCCATCAGAGCTTTGGCTGTTTTAGCCATCTGCTCCATCTCCAAATTGTACAGAAGCCGCCGCTGCTTTTCACTAGCGACACCTCCAAAGAAACAAGAGGACATGAGTAACAGCAGCTTGGTGCCGGGCGCTGCGTCAGAGTCGCAGTGACGCAATCACAAATCTAACCCATAAACACGATTTTATTGAGGGGAAAACGAGGCATAGACTGGTCAGGTGACCTCCCCAGGTGATGTGGCTAATGGTGGGTAGAACTTGAACCCACAATTTGACTCTTTTTTTTTTTTTTCTTTTTGGGTCACACCCGGTAATGCACAGGAGTTACTCCTAGTTCTGCACTCAGGAATTTCCCCTGGCGGTGCTCAGGGGACCATATGGGATGCTGGGAACCGAACCCGGGTCGGCCGCGTGCAAGGCAAATGCCCTACCCGCTGTGCTACTGCTCCAGCCCCACCAATTTGACTCTCTAAACCTTAACTTCTCAACCTGTTGGCTCACAGTCCTATTAGGGGTTGAATAACTGAATAAGAGAGGGGGTGCACAAAATATTCTGGAAATACTATTTCTTGGGTGAAATGGGGCGGAGAGCGGGAGAGGTTTAAGACGCCCTGCTGGGAACTGCCAAGACTTCGTTGCTTCTTGAACAAAGCCTCTTACACAAGGCCTTCATGAGCTTGATGGCATTTTAATGAAGGACAATGATCATGGGCATGAAGGCGAAGTTTTAAGCCACCTGTGGGGCGGGGGAGTCCTTCAGCTATCAGGTTACTTATTTTAAATTGCCTCTTGTTACTGCTCGTCACAAATCCGGCAAGAAGATGGTAATGCACCGAGAAACCCAGAATAATCATCATAATGAATCCAATCACAGTTCTGATTCGGATATTTAGGTATGCAAATTACACTTCTCATCAGGGAAGGGAATCGTGCACCCTGAGATGCTCGAAACCCCCAGCACGCACGGGCCCCCCAGCCAGGCCTTACTCTGCTTGGTGGACTTGGCCGCGATCGTGTGCTCTTTCGTCTCCTTCATGGCGATCTTCTTGCCTTCGATCTCCTCGTAGATGCTGGAGAGATACTCCTCGGGGAGATCCTGACTGTCGTTGATGCCCCGGTTCATTTTAATATACTGCTCTTTTGTCATTTTGTTTTTCACCTGCAATCGGCGCAAACAGAAACATGGAAATCACGCAGGGAACGGGTGACGTCGGGAGCCACTGTGTGGCGTGGGCTGCAGAGGCCACGAGTGCCTCTTACCTGAGGGCTGTGCAGGTCTGTGGTGAGCATGATGATGGAGTAGGCGAGCACGTAGGCTGTGTCCGCACTTGCGAACAGCGTCTGCCTGGAAGAGAAGATGCGGGTAGAACAAGAAGCCTGGAGGTGCGCGCCAAGCGCTTCCAGCCCCAGGAGCAAACCAGAGCATACCAAGAGCTAAAGGCGCGACAGTTTTGGGATTTCAAGTCAAATCAGAGTCTCGCGCCACACTCGGAAGTGCTAAGGGCTCACTTCCGGCCCTGCACTCTGAGGTCACTCCTGGCAGGTTCAGGGGGCCATATGCGGTAGCCGGTAAATTAAACCCGGGTCGGCTGTGTTCAAGGCCAGTGCCCTACTTGCTATTCTACCGCTCCGGCCCGTGTATAGGGCCCCTTCTGGTGATATTTGCTACGAGGCCAGTAAGAGCCTTAGCCGGAAGTACTGGGGTCAAACTCAGGGCCTTGCACAGTCGCCATGTGCAGTATGGTGAGAGTTACCTCCTTAGCCCTGTAAAAATCACAATATTGGGGGAAGGGGTTGTGCTCTGAAGGCCTAGGGGTCCTTCCTGGCAATTTTTAGTGCCCCCGAGCACTGGGGGCCTGAGATGCTGCTCGGTATCTGTGGGGCTGGGGAACGGGGGGGCACTCTCCAGGGCAGCAGCCCTGATGGGGGGAACCATCTGGTGGGAAGGCTTGAACCAGGACAGCTGCATGCAAGGCACTCGCCTTTGCCCCTATCCTGTCTCTGCAGCACCCCCAATTTTGTTTTCCGGAGGGGGGGTCACACCGGGTGATGCTCAGGGGATACTCCTGGCTCTGCACTCAGGAACTACTCCTGGCCATACTCAGGGGACCATGTGGGATGCTGGGGATCGAACCTGGGTAAGCCATGTGCAAGGAAAACGCCCTCCCTGCTGTACTACCATCCTGTCCCCTCTGTAGCCCCTTAAAAAAAGAAATTCTCAAGGAACCTGCAAGGCAGGGAATAGGTAAGTCCAGGGTGCACCCAGAGCAGAGAATGCAAGGACACCCTCTCTCCCGAGGCGACCCTGAGGGCAAGCCCTCCAAGTTTGCACCTGAAGCGCTTCCTCCCTCGCCCTCATCCTATTCCTGAAAGTCTCTACTCCTCCTTGGCGTTAGGGGAAGGACGGCCAAAAAAACCGCTCTGACAGCGTACACTAACCACCCCTCAGCAGTGAAAACACACAGGAAGAGATTTCTCTTGAGCGAGACAACTTGCCAATAAATTCAGACCTTGCTGCCTTCGGTGAGAAATGACCCAAGTACCTCATTTTGTCTACAAATGCACAGTCTAATGACACAGGAGGCTGCCGCGAGCACCCCTGAAACACACAACAAGCAAACTTCTAACATGCCACTTATCTAGTTGCTGATTAGGGAGACAGATCAGGCATCTGGGCCCACTCGGGAGATAGTTAAAGAAAATAACATCTAATTAAGTCTTCTCAGCAAGTCCCAGTGTCCATCTGGTTAAAATGACCAGCAGCTGCTGCTGCTGACCGGCTATCGACGGTGGACAGCCTGCCATGCACTTGGAAGACGGGGAGCAATTAGTATGACAGCGACGCGGCTGCCTCCACAGGCCAAACTGTTCTCAAGGCCCCAGCGGTGCAGAAACTTCCGCCTCGTGTCAGCGTCTGCACATGTGCTGAGCGGCTTGTTCCGTGGCGAGAACGGGAGTTTCTGAGTTCACCACATTCACCCCTGGGGACAGCTGCTCGATGGCTCAGAATACGACTCCTTCTCTGTTATCAGGATGCCGAGGGACACGGGATTCAGAAAACGGACACTTGTGAACCCCAGGGCACTGCTGACCTCCCTGTGGGTGTTTTAACAGATTAGCTCTTGGGCTCTGAAGACAGGAGCCGGGGTGCATGTGCCCGAGCTGGGCACGGTCACGGGTAGCATAAAGCCTCCAGCGCATTATAGGGGTGCCCTCTGGGCATGGCGGGGTGTACGGGGGGTGGGGGGCAGCAGCATCACTCAGTGGAATCGCCAGCCCTAAGGAGCATCACCAGGAGTTGCTCTGGGACCTCCCAGATACCCCCTACCCCGATCCTGCCAGAAAAAAAAAAAGAAGAAATAAAGATGAGTTTTCTTTCCAATTTCCATTTCCTACCCCAAAAATTCACCTACTATCAAATGAGGCCCCCAGATGTAATTACATAGTTCGGCAGGTTTTATAAGCTACAGAGTCATTTCTGAAATGGCTCATCAAAACGCAATCAAAGAAAACCCAAAATCCTTGTGAATCACCCCATAAATTAAGCCAGGGTGCTCTTCTTGGTTAGGCAAGAGGCAGTGAAGCCTCTCAACTCTCCATCCGTCATACCAGGGAGGGTCCGGGCTACTCAATCCAGGGCAGGCCGGTAAGTCTCCTGGTCCCCAGCCTTCCTGGATGCAGAAAGGGTGCAAACACACATTTGCAGTAAGACTTTATCTGAGAGACCCCTTAGCAGGGTGTCTGACATGTCGTGAACAGAAACTCCAATTGCCTGGCACTTTCAACAATAAAACCCCTGCCCCGAGCCACACCGAGTGTCCGAGGTGGCAGAAGGGGACAGAAGCCCGGCACTCACCCCTGGTTACACTCTATGTATCTTGCAGCAAATTTCTCCATTAACCGATCGATCTTCTGAGCTTCCCCTGGCAGGCGGAAACCTTCCAGAAACGTCCGCAGCGCGGAGACAAACTCCTTCTCACAGAAGTCGAGCTGGTCCACGTAGGCGTACATCACCTCCTTATTGAAGCGTGCGCTCTCGCCCAGAAACTCACCTACCTGGGTCTGAAACACACGCGCTCACGTCTAGCGACCCACAAATACAGACTGACAGCAAAAGGCACTTGAGTCGAATTCCCCCAACGGGCACGGGTCTAAGAAAAGCACCCCCTGGGTGTGCCTGCCCACCCATGGGTGCCAGATTCGGTCTGTCCCGCCAAGCCCGAGGAAGAGGTGACACAGGGGCCTAAACGTGGAGGGATGACAGGCCATGTGGAGCGAGGTGCGGAACCTTTTTCACCCACGGAAACCTGTCCGCTTCCCGGCAGTTTTGCCGTGAGGGCCAACGGGAGGAGCAGGACTGCCGCAAGTAGGCTGTGGGGCTGGTGACAGCCACTCCTCCCCGACAGACAGAGGCTCCGAATCACCCGGGGGTCCCCGTGCCAGCGCCCGCCTGCAGCCTTACGGAATCGAGGCGCTCCTCCTGGTGCAGGAACTGGGCCATGTCTTCCACGGACGTGCCCAGCATGCCCTGCTCCTGCAGAAACTGGATCCCTCGCTTGGGTTTCTTGTTGAAACTGTCGGGAGGAAAGATGGGACCCGGGCTGCTTATTTCAAAATCTAGAAAGTCTGAAAAAGTGGGCACTGGCGGCACACTATGAAGACAACGCCCAGGCCGCAAGGGGCACCCAGGCCAGTACTGGTACACATCACGGCGGTCCTCACTGCCCTGCCAGCCTTTCTAAACCCCACCTTTAGTTTCTGGTGCGGCAACGACAGAGTCCGTGGGTCATCGGCAGCACCCCTTCCCTCCCCCCGCTTGACACCCCTAGGTGCTGAGCTGGGCACCCGGAAATGAGAATGCCTCCCCGAAACAAAGCCTGGTCACATGGCCCTGCTCTGGCCCGTGGGATGGGGGCAGATGTGGTGCAGGCACTGCTAGGAAGGACCCGAGAACACAAGCTGACCTGGCTGAGGACATGCTTTTCTTGCACGATCCCTTCTGCCCGCAGAATCTAAGTATGATGGCTGGTGCTCCAGCAGCCACTCTGCTCAGAGGCAGCAGGGAAGGCACTGACACATGAGGACTGGTGAAGCGCTAAGGTAACAAAAGCCAAGCGGGCCTGAAGTGGGGGGATTGGTGCTCGAGTCCATGCCTCACATGTGTGTGGCTCGCGTCTATCCATCCCTGCTCTGCGCATGCGTGCGCGCGCGCGCGCGCGCGCGCACACACACACACACACACACACACACACACACAGCTCTCTCTAGTCCGGGAGTCACCAGGAGCTGGAAAGCCCCACTTTGGGGTCATCTTTATTTATTTTTTATATATTTTTTTTTGCTTTTTGGGTCACACCTGGCGATGCTCAGGGGTTACTCCTGGCTCTGCACTCAGGAGTTACTCCTGGCGGTGCTCAGGGGACCAAATGGGATGTTGGGAATCGAACCGGGTGGTTCGTGTGCAAGACAAATGCCCTACCCGTTGTGCTATCTCTCCAGCCCCTTGGGGCTGTCTTTAAAGCACGGAGGCTCATTTCCTACTTCCTGTTATAGGAGGGAGAATTTTTTCTTAATACTCAAAACCTGTATTTGTGGTTTACATCTTATATGAAATAGATTTTCTGCTCTGGAGTTGCTGGACTGTGAGTGCTTTAGGGGGAGGGATGCTGCTTCGTCCCTCTATCTTGGCCATGTTCACTGAGTCTTAAAACTAGACCCAACACTGAAGCAGTGATTTGTGTCTTCTCCCCTTTCTGTGTCCCTGTCTTATCCAAAGACACAATTTAGTCTTTATGAGAGAGAAAGAGCAGGGACGGGGTTGGGGAGGGGTGGAGACAGAGAGAGAGAGAGAGATGGGGGAGAGGAGAGAGAATTTAATCCCTGGACACGTTCAGTTTCTATGCACCAGAGCCTGTAGTGGAGAATATTCACAGGTTGGTGTGAATCGTGGCAAGGAGACTGGGGCAGGTGCAGACACTGTGGCTGCAGAGGCCTCTTAAGCATGAGACGTTTCGCCAGGATTAAACAAGACACAAGAGTCTACACAGGACAGGGAGGTGGCAGCGGAGAAAGCTCTGGGCCATGGCGTGGCTCAGGGAACTGGTGGGAGACGAGGCCAGCAGGGGCCAGAGGCTGTGACAGGGCATAGGAGCCAGGGACCAGGCAGGGGCGTGCTCAGCTGATGCGGATCCTTCAGAGATTATATTGGCTACTCTGGGGACAAGGAAGTAATTAAACAGACAGGGGACCTGCAGAGAGTGAGCGAAATGGATTGATACCTAATTTAATGAATATTCTAACTATAATAAACTGAATTTATGAAGTTAACTAATGGATTCAAAAGCTAGAAAGATTATGCGTGCGTTTTTGTGTAATAAGATGAAAGAAACATTATCGGCAGTAGTAATGATGATGGTATGATTATCCGAGAGAATTTTTTCACTTCTCAAAGCTCAGGGCACCCCAAGTATCCTGCTGGTGGCAACTGACTTTTTTTTTTTTTTTTTGCTTTTTGGGTCACACCCGGCGATGCTCAGGGGTTACTCCTGGCTCATGCTCTCAGGAATTACTCCTGGCAGTACTCAGGGGATCATATTGGATGCCGGGAATCGAACCTGTGTTGGCCATGTTGGCTGCGTGCAAGGCAAACGCCCTACTGCTGTGCTATCGCTCCAGCCCCGCAACTGATCTTTTAATGGCTCAGAAAATAAAAACTTAAGAGAAGATTGACGTGGCAATTGTTGATTTTTCTGCATGCTTACATTTTGCCTAACACAAAATTGGAAGAAAAAGTTACCACTGGTCAGCCAGCTTCAGGGCTAACATCCGGCAAGGGAGGGAGAGGCCCTCTGTCCCATCCCAGCACACACGCGGCCCCCAGCACAGGCGGGGATGGCTGTTAGTGGCCCCACACCTCTGTGCAGTGCTTGGGAGCCCCCCAAGAAAAGTTACCAGTGGTCATTTCCTCCAAGCAATAATTTTTTTGTTTTTGGACCATACCTGGCAGTGCTCAGGGGTTACTCCTGGCTCTGCACTCGGGAATTATTTCCAGTGGGATTCGGGGGCCCTCCCTGCCAGCCCCAGCAGGCAGCAATTAATTTTAGGAGTCATGTTTTTGCTTTATACTTTACTGTTACTTGCTAAATAAATTTAATTCTTTTCCTTAGGAAAAACAAAATAAAACAAAACAAAAAACCCCCTAAATCCTACCAGGCATCAATCGCTCAAAGCTGCAGAATCCCTCCTCCCCATCAATCCTTTGAAGGATCTTCACTCCCTCCCTCTCTTCCCCCCAACACACACACACACACACACACACACACACACACACACACCACACCACACACATATTCTCTCTCTCTCTCTCCACCCCCCTCCTCATCCCAGCTCAACGGGGCTCAGCCGCAAGTCCCAACGTTGGCTTTGTCACAGGCATCTCCCCCTGACAAGGCAGTCCCAGGTTCCCAGATCCCAAATCCCTCCCAGGATCCCAGATTCCTCCCAGGCTCCCAGATCCCTCCCAGGCTCTCAGACCCCAGATCCCTCCCAGGCTCCCAGATCCCAAATCCCTCCCAAGCTCCCAGCTCCCTCCCAAGCTCCCAGATTCTAGATCCCTCCCAGGCTCCCAGATCCCTCCCAGGCTCTCAGACCCCAGATCCCTCCCAGGCTCCCAGATCCCAAATCCCTCCCAAGCTCCCAGCTCCCTCCCAAGCTCCCAGATTCTAGATCCCTCCCAGGCTCCCAGATCCCTCCCAGGCTCCCAGATCTCTCCCAGGCTCCCAGATCTCTCCTAGGCTCCCAGATCCCAGATCCCTCCAAGGCTCTCAGACCCCAGATCCCTCCCAGGCTCCCAGATCCCAGATCCCTCCAAGGCTCTCAGACCTCAGATCCCTCCCAGGCTCCCAGATCTCAGATCCCTCCCAGGCTCTCAGATCCCAGATCCCTCCCAGGCTCCCAGATCCCAGATCCCTCCCAGGCTCTCAGACCCCAGATCCCTCCCAGGCTCCCAGATCCCAGATCCCTCCCAGGCTCCCAGATCCCAGATCCCTCCCAGGCTCCCAGACCCCAGATCCCTCCCAGGCTCTCAGATCCCAGATCCCTCCCAGGCTCCCAGATCCCTCCCAGGCTCCCAGACCCCAGATCCCTCCCAGGCTCCCAGATCCCAGATCCCTCCCAGGCTCCCAGATCCCTCCCAGGCTCTCAGACCCCAGATCCCTCCCAGGCTCCCAGATCCCAGATCCCTCCCAGGCTCCCAGATCCCAGATCCCTCCCAGGCTCTCAGATCCCAGATCCCTCCCAGGCTCCCAGATCCACATCCCGCCCAGGCGCCCAGCCCCCAGGCCCCACTAGCTTTGCTGGGAGCCGCTGCCGCACTCACAGCTCAATGCCGTGTTCAATGATTTCCTTCTGCTGCTTGATGACCTCAAACTGCTCTGGGTCATCCTGGACCGTGGTCTGCGTCCCCAAGGACACAGTGGACTCCATGGACGTCACACTGCTCCGTCTGGCCAGGTCGAGGCCTTTCCCATCCCCTTCCTGGTCCATGGGCCTCTCCTGACCTGCAGAAACAATAGCAAAAGAGGCCAGGTAAGCGGGGGGAACACTGGCGTGGCTGAGCGCCTTCTCGCTCTGGGATTCCTGTGTCCAGGCCCAGGAGAGACGAGGCTGTCAGATGGATCACCAGCACTCAAACGGTGGATTTTGTTTTTTGGGCCACACCTAACAGTGCCCAGGGCTGACTCTGGTGAACTCAGGGGACCGCATGGAGTGCCAGGGCTCGTACTTGGGTCAGCCGTATGCTAGGCAAGTGCCCTTTCCACTGAACTATCACTCCGGCCCCTGCTTAGACTTCATTGAGAAGCTCCTTTTGGTGGCATCTACAGAGCTAGATTTGTCTGTTTGTTTTGGGGCCGCAGGTGGCAGTGCCCAGGGCTTGCTCTTCGCTGTACTCAGGAATCACTCCTGGTGGTGTCTGGGGACCGTATGTCATGGCAGGGATAGAACCTGGGTGGAGTGCCTCACTCGCTGTGCTGTCACTCTGGCCTAATCCTCAAACTAATCCTCAAGTTCTGCGAGAGAGGAAACATGCCGAGAGCAAAGGCCCTGGAGGAGCAGCAGCGCAGGGAGCCTGCGCCAACGGCTCGGCTCGGACTCCCTGGAGCAGGCCGGGCGCTGGGAAGCGGGGCTCGGGGCAAGAACGGACACTCAGGCTCACGGGAACTAAGCAGATTATAAAGCTGCGGCTCAGGCCAGCAGGCCACGGAGGGAACACTCAACAAATGCTGAGAAATCTGGCTCTCCGTTTGGGAAAACGGAGCAGGAGCACAACTCACACTACGCTGCCGGTATTCGACAGAATTCATGAGCAGACTCTTCAAAAACTTAGCTTTTAGTCACCACGACTTCCAATCCCTCCGGTAACAGAATTTCAGTGCCCAACCTCCATGGTTTCCCCACAGCAATGTCTTGGGGTTCCCCCTGAGCGCACCCCCCCGCCAGCTGCCTGAGTAGGCTCTGGGTGAAGACCAGTTCCCAGGTTCTGTCTGTTCGGGGGCCACACCTGGCAGTGCCCAGGGCTTGCTCTTGTTGCCAAAAGCAGAATATTTAAAATAGCATTCTCTAAGTCTATTTTTTTTTCTTTCTGGTTTGGGGGGCAAGAAGGGGGTTTACAGGGCCAGGATGGAGACCTGGATCCGCCCTGAAAAGCCTCGGAGGCCCCCGTGTCCGACCCACTCTGAGACAAGCAGGCGGTGCTTACCGAGGCTCGTCTGGTGATTGGGGTTCACGTACAGGTCCTTGCTCCACTCCACCATGCACTTGAGAATGGACACAAGGCACTCGAGGCCTTTCTTCCTCAAGCTGAGCTCCTGAAGAACAAAGGGACAGAAACTCAGCACAGACCAGGCGCTAAGGGCGGGCTCCTGCGCAAGCCGGGGAGGAAAGAGACCACCAGGCGGTGCCTTTCAGGATAAGACTGAGAGAAGTTAGCGGGTGGCGGATGTTAGGGGCCCCTGCCAGCCCTCTGGGGCACTAGGGCCAACATGCAGGAACTAAGACACAGGACATGTGAGTTCCTTTGTCTTTGGTTTTTGTTGCACTGTCAGTGGGTAGGGTGTTTGCCTTGCACGTGGCTGACCCGGGTTCGATTCCTCTGTCCCTCTCGGAGAGCCTGGCAAGTTACTGAGAGTATCCCGCCCACACGGCAGAGCCTGGCAAGCTCCCCATGGCGTATTTGATATGCCAAAAACAGTAACAAGTCTCACAATGGAGACATTACTGGTGCCCGCTCGAGCAAATCGATGAACAGCAGGAGGACAATGCTACAGTGCTTGGTTTTTGCTTGGGGGCCATGACTGGCAGTTGCTCAGGGCTTCCTCCTGACTCTACGCTAAGGAATCACTCCTGGCAGCGCTCAGGGGACCAGACGGGAAGCTGGGGTTCAAGCCTGGGTCAGGTACATGCAAGGTACGTGCCCCACCTACTGCAGTACTGCTCAGGCCCCCAGGATGTGAACTTTCCTAAGAGAGACGATGAGATTTGGAGCTTTGAAAGTAGTCATCACTCTCATTTGTGATTTTTATAAAGTAAGTAAAGTAAAGGCCCTCCCGTTGATCGATTTGCTCGAGCGGGCCCAGTAACGTCTCCATTGGAGACTTTGTTGTTACTGTGTCTGGCATATCGAATACTCTCGACCAGTAACGTCTCCATTGGAGACTTTGTTGTTACTGTGTCTGGCATATCGAATACTCTCGGTAGCTTGCCGGGCTCTCTGAGAGGGGCGGAGGAATCAAACTCGGGTCGGCCATGTTGGCTGCATGCAAGGCAGACGCCCTACCCGCTGTGCTATCGCTCCAGCCCCTGTTGTTGTTCTTTATGTTTTGGTCACAGCAGGTGGTGCTCAGGGGTCACTCCTGGCAGTGCTGGGGACCGTATGTGGAGCTGGGGATGGCACCTGGGTTGGGCACGTGTAAGGCCAGCACCATCCCACCCTACTGCCTCTCCAGCTCCTGCTGATCTTTTATTTTAAAAAAAGATTTTTTGGCGGGGGGGGGGGGGGGGGGGGCGGGCCTTTTGGACCACTCTGGCTATGTCCAGGGCCTACTCCTGGCTCCGCTCTCTTGGAACATTCCTGGCGGTGCTTGGGGGACCTTTGGGGGCGGGGGGCTGGGGACTGAACCCAGCTCGGTCACACGTAAGGTGCAACCCTACCCACCGCACTACCTTGCCAGTCCCTGCTGCTTTTTATAAAAAGTCACGTTCCTAATGCAGAAAGTTGATGTGACTTACAGGTCATCTAAAAAAATTGCAAATATTGTCGACTAAGGCATCTAAGGCAGTACAGACTTCTCTGTGAATGTAATGGCGAGCAGGCTGTGGAGGAGAAACAGCCAGTCACCAGGTTTCTGCATGTGATCCCAGGTGGCCTGGGGACCTTCTCCCCTCCTTTCTGTGATGCAGGATTCCAACCTGGGGCTTCACACATGCGAGGCACACGCCTTACACCAAGCCCGAGCCCCAGCCCTGAGAACTTCAAGAAGATCCTGGACCATAGCCAAGGAGCCCTTTCGAGGCCATCTCCGACTAAAGAGCCACTTGCCCAGCAGGACCCGGAGACGGGGACCCTGCTTTCACAGATTTGGGGCAAGGTGACTGTGAGCGAACTCTCATCCTGTACGTCTCAACGCCAATGTCACCGACGTCGATAAGGCGACGGTCTCCCTCCCGCTCCCCTGTATGGTCCCAACTTTACTCCCCACATGTCACTTCTTCCCAGACACTGGCAGGTGCTGTGACAGCAACAAACAGCCCTGCGTGTTGGCGCACGTGGCCGGGTCTCGGGGCTGTGCAATGGAATAACTGCACTTCAAACGCCGACAGCTGTGCCCGGGAATCTTACCTGCAGGGGTGTCATTCCCAGCTCGTGTCCGCTTCTTCCCTGAGCGATTTTGGATAAATCATTTACGAGGCGCTCAAAAATGTTAGCAGCATTAAGATCACAGTCGTAGTTGACATAGATATCCACAACACACTGGGCATCTTGGAAAATAACATGACACATACTAGAAATTCTATTCAAGTGCAGGCGTGCTTTCTAATGAAACAGACTCCTTTGTCAATTTTTTTTTTCTCTCCCGGGAAACACTGACTCAGATAGTTTCACATAGGAAATCCGTGTTGGCCAGACCAGCAATCAGCCAGTTCTCCCCTAGGGCTCGCCGAAGACTAACCCTTGATTCACCTCCCCAAGGCAAAGAGGAGGACAGCAATTATGGGAACCATTTCTAAGAGTTGAATTAACACTTTTTGATTTGTATTTTTGGGCCACATGCGGAGGTGCCCAGAGGCATTCAGTAGGCCCAGTAGAGAGTGCCAGTGATTGAACCTTATTTTGCCGAGTGCCCTCTCTCCCTGCTACATTACTACTCTGGTCCCAGTGTGTTAACATTTTTTTTTTCTTTTCGGGCTACACCGGGAGGTTCTCAAGGCTTACTCCTGGCCCTGTGCTCAGGAAATCACTCATGGCGGTGCTCAGGAGACCACAGGGGATGCCAGGGATTAAACCCACATCCAGGCCTACTGTACTATGGCCCTAGCCCCAGTAACACTTAAGAAATTATGTATGATAACAGACAACTCATATAATCACATGGTATAAAGTAAATTACCTTGATAGCCAACCACTGGGTTGGCGCCAATCTCTTAGCTCCTGTGACTAACACTGACCAGCTTCTAAATAGGGTCCTGATTTTACAGGACCACGAGCTGTCCCAGAACAAGGGGCTTTCGATGCTAACACCAGAAAGTTCCAGGCAAGTAAGACTAAGCAAGTCATCCTCTGAAGGATGAGTCAACTGGTTAGAATTTGCCTTCGAGGTGAGGATTCTACCAAGCCTTCATTACAAACTCTAAAGGGAGAAGCTAGGAGATATTCATCTGAACTTTGGGAAACGAAATCGTCCAAAGGGGTCCCGAGCGAGTTCAGTGGAGAAGCACTGTGGGGCAAAAGTACCTGCACAGATCCTGGTCAGAGTCTGGATGACCATCCACCTGTGCTCAAAAGAACTAGTCGACGTTTCCAAGATGTTCAGGAAAATCTCTTTGAAAAACACCTGCATGGTGGGAAGATGAAGGAGAACATAGCAGTTGGTTACTTTTTTTCTTTTTGGGTCACATCCGGCAATGCTCGGGGATTCCTCCTGGCTCTGCACTCAGGAATTACTCCTGGTGATGCTCAGGGGACCATATGGGATGCTGGGAATCGAACCCGGGTTGGCAGTGTGTAAGGTAAGCACCCTACCTGCTGTGCTATCACTCCAGCCCCAAACATAGTAGTTTTTTTAGGTTTTTTTCCCCCCCCTTCCCCTTCTGGGTCACAGCCGGCGATGCTCAGGAGTTCTGCACAATTCCTGGTACTGCACTCAGGAATTACTCCTGGCGACGCTGGGGGACTATACAAGATGCTGGGGATCGAACCCGGGTTGGCAGTGTGCAAGGCAAACACCCTACCTGCTGTATTATCACTCCAGCCCCAGAATACAGTAGTTTAAACTGGGCTCAAAACCCCAAGGCCGCCGGAGGACAGGAAGGTGCTAGGAGTGATCCTTTTCCTTCTTGGGTAGAAGAGCCAGACGTGTGCTCTGCCAACAGCACCCGAACATTGGCCTTCGGGGGCCGTTGCTGGGGTGTCTGGAGCACCTGGGCCCTGGGGAAGGGGTCAGCTGCGCCTGGGCCATCGTCAGGATCTGCCCCCAGAACACATCACCAGGGCTGCAATTTCTCGAGAGAAACCAGAAGCCCAGGCTCTATATGGAACCTGACCTCTCAGAGGCTAACCAACTCACTTCCATCTGCAAATCAAGAGTGGACAAGCGAGGCAGTCCTGCCTGGCAGAGATCTCTGGCCAGCACAGAAGGCTGGGCACAACTTCACGCAAGGTCTTCCCTCATCCACCCAAAATAGTTCTCCTCCTGGGGAAAGGCGTTGACCGGCCCGCCCGCTCCTCTCTGGAAAGAAAGATGGCGGCCGCACGGGAGCCTTGTGGAAAGCGGGTTTGAGCCGGGCTCGGGGGAGCGGCGGGGACCTCATGGGAAGGGGGGCTTTGTGGGCCGTCCCCCACGCCCCACCGAGGTCGCCAGCTGCCCCCCACGAGCGGCTCTCCGGCACGGCCACGGCCCCGGAGGCACAAGGACTTAGCACAGAGAACCAGCCGCTTGGAGCAGAAAAGCAAATGGACTTGTGTTGATCCGCGCCACCAAGCCTGCCCGGAGGGGGAAGGGCGTTGACCGGCCCGCCCGCTCCTCTCTGGAAAGAAAGATGGCGGCCGCACGGGAGCCTTGTGGAAAGCGGGTTTGAGCCGGGCTCGGGGGAGCGGCGGGGACCTCATGGGAAGGGGGGCTTTGTGGGCCGTCCCCCACGCCCCACCGAGGTCGCCAGCTGCCCCCCACGAGCGGCTCTCCGGCACGGCCACGACTCCAGGGCACAGAAATCAATCTCTTAACTAGCTAACTTTTAATAGAAATTCTTCCAGGGTCAATAAGTAAAATAGCAGAAATTCAAAACCGCGCGGCCGCAATAGCGGCCGCGCAACATCATTTTATTCTTAAACCAAGTTGTAGAAAGCAAATCATTTCACAACGCTGTTTCAGCATGTCTGATTGGGGTGGGGGTGGGTCGTAAACTCTAAACAATAATTGTGCATCTTCTATCGAAATAATCTATCTAGTCAAAGTAGATAGAGTATTAACTAGAACTCATCTGCCTCACAAGAATTGGGAGGGGTGGGAGGTGGGGGTCTATTGGGGTTCGGGGTTAAAAATGAGTATTGGTAAAGGGAAATGTGTTCGGTATCTACATGACTGAGACCTAAACCTGAAAGCTCTGTAACTTTTCCCACAGTGATTCAATAAATAAATAAATTATAAAAAAAAAAAAAAAAATAGTTCTCCTCCTGGGGCTGAAGTGATAGCACAGCGGGTAGGGCATTTGCCTTGCATGCAGCTGATCCAGGTTCTATTCCCAGCATCCCATATGGTCCCCTGAGCACTGCCAAGAGTAATTCCTGAATGCAAAGCCAGGAGTAACCCCTGTGCATTGCCAGGTGAGATGCCGCCCCCCCCCAAAAAAAGTCAAAAGAGTTCTCCTTTGGGGGTGCGGGAAGGTAGCCCGAGTATCCCCTAGACCCCAGGGCCCAGGTCCCAAGCCAGGAACTCGACCTCAATGTGAGTGGATTCCCAACACCAGGCATCAAGCTGCAGCCCATACCTCTATCTGCATCTTCAAGTGCATCTTGAAGTTGGAAAGAAGAGTCAGAAAAATGGCAAGAGAGAGCTCAAAGACGTCCGGCACGGAGGAGACACCATTCTTGGACAGGGCCACGCAGAGGTACTGCTTGATGGCGTTGATGAACATCTCGTGCGTCCTGAAGACGGGGCCGGCGTTCTGCAGCACGGACAGGAGCAGCTGCAGGGACACCACCTTGGAACGTAGCTCGTGGGACCTGGCAGAGCAAAGCGACAGGGACGCTGAGGATGACGCTCTGGTCCCTCCGTCGCTGAGCGGAGTTTTCTGGGGAACCAGTGAGCTGAAGAACTTGCGCCGGCACTCAGATGTCAAGAGGATGGGGGCAGACGGCGCGCGGGCGGTGGGTTCTCTCCTGGTGCCTGCGTGCCCTGGCAAGAGCGGGCTGCCAACGCCTGTTCTTTTCGGGGCTCCTCGCCAGGAAGCAGAGAACACATGAGAAGCCAGAGAAGCACCAGCTGGCACTGCAGCTCCCTGCACAGACGCGGGCCTTGTGTGGCGCTCTGTGAGACCCAGGATGCCGGTTCTGTTTTATCTTTATTTCCAATTCATTTTGGCTTGGGGGCCATACCCAGCCATGCTCAGAGGTCACTCCTGGGCGTGCTGGGGATTGAAGCTGGGCTGGCCATGTGTATGGCCAGTGCTTGCCCACAATTACCCTCTCTCTCCAGCCCCAGGCTTTACTTTTTTTTTTTTTTGCTTTTTGGGTCATACCCGGCGATGCACAAGGGTTACTCCTGGCTCATGCACTCAGGGATTACTCCTGGCGGTGCTCGGGGGACCATATGGGATGCTGGGAATCGAACCCAGGTCGGCCATGTGCAAGGCAAACGCCCTACCCACTGTGCTATCGCTCCAGCCCCCTAGGTTTTACTTTTTTAACAGAGACAATGCAGAGCTTACACTACCCGTCTGCCTCACCATGTCTTAGCAACCACCCTAGCAACGGACTCTTACCCAGCTAGAAAGCCCCATGAGGGGTACCATGGGAAAAACCCTATGAAAGCCACCCTGAACTAAGGAAGGGTGGGCATATGCTGGATCCATGTGCTGCTTGTGCCCATGTGCCCGAGCACATGTGTGCCGCATCTCCCCTCTTGAGATGGGAACTGTGCCCTCTCCGCCTTTGGAGAAGCCCATGTTCTTCCTTGAACGCGTTTGCTCTCCCTCCTTCCCCTTCCTCGAAAACTCTCCAAATAAAATCTGTTTCTATTTCGCTGCTTGCCGACTCCGGAAGTTCTTTGCTGCGAGACTGGGCAAAGTACCTGGAAACCCAGGGGAAGAGCAGGACTGACTTTCCAGACTTCATCAGGCCTGGCCTTCCCAGTTGGCCTCGGGGTGGCACAGATGGATCGGGAGAAGTGACATCTCTCTTCTCTCTGCCTCATCAAAGTCACCTGTGGGGGCCCACCGACTTCAACCTCAGCGTCCTGATCTCTACCCATCCCCCTAAGAAATGGGAAAGGCTCGTGACTCCCCAGCGTTCATCACAGCCTGGCTAAAAAAGCTGCAGGTGGCAACTACGGTGCTCGGTGAATTAACAAAGGTGCCCCTAAGACTGATGAAGTTCCAGGCCCCGCCATCATTCTATCATGACTTCTTTCCCAGATGCACTAAGGCGATTCTGCCCAACTTCAGAGGTTTGGTGACGCAGATTCACAGCCCTGGGGATGAGTCGGGGGAGCAGGACCGAATGCAGCTGTCCCCTACGAGGGTGTCACCAGCCTTGAAGCTGGTCATCCCTGACTCCCAAGGGTTGCACCTGGATCCATGGAGCACAGGCTTCCACCCCAAGCAGGGGCCTGAGGGTGGACACACCTGCCTCAGAGGTCACTCAGCAGACTGGAGCGCATGCGCATGCAGTGTGAGATGTGTAGCCTTCAGCCAAGGAAAGCAAAACTGGGCAAAATCCGGGTTGGAGGAGACACAGGCCGTCGGCCGCGAATGACGGGGGGATGCAGAAACTGCACATGTGTCTCAAGCTGGTTAGACCGTCTGGAGTGAATCCTGCATCCAGACCGCCAAGGGCCAGGCCAGGCGACCAGGAGGGGTCACCTGCTCACAGACAGTGGAGAGCTGTGCCCTGCTTACTTTGGGTCGGGGGGGCCTTCACCCAGGGGCTTCATGGACAGCTTGCAAAGGGAGCGGAACACAAGGAAGGCGTCTTTCTGCAGGACGTGAGAGAACCTGGTGGCCGCTGGATGTCCCTGGGTGTCTGACTCCTGGAGTAGAAAGAAGAGAAAAGGGGGGAAAAAATGAATAAATAAAATTATTTTTTAAAAAGAGGAGAAAACTCAAAAGGTCCAAAGAGAAGGATGACTTTCAAAAGAAAAAAAAGTTACTGCATAGAAATATCCATTCCTAAAGTTACTCAATACGAAGGTGAGGGGTACGGGAAGAGAATCTGACCAAAAAAAAAAAAAATGGGCTGGAGCGATAGCACAGCGGAAGGGCGTTCGCCTTACAAGTGGCCAACATGGCCGACCCGAGTTCGATTCCTCCGCCCCTCTCAAAGAGCCCGGCAAGCTACCGAGAGTATTCGATATGCCAGACACAGTAACAACAAAGTCTCCAATGGAGACGTTACGGGGCCCGCTCGAGCAAATCGACGATCAACGGGAGGGCCTTTACTTTACTTACTTTTACTTCTTTTTGGGTCACACCTCGTGATGGATGCTTCAGGGATACTCCTGGCTCTGCACTGAGGGCTCACTCCTGGTAGTGCTTGGGGGACCTTCTGGGATGCCAGGGATTGAGCCTGGATCAACTGCATGCAAGGCAAGTGCCCTACCTGCTGGACATTTGTTCTGGCCCCAGAATATCCTAAAACTTTGTTTCTTGTCTTCAAAAAGTGGGGTGGGTGGTTTAAAGTGACAAAGGAGAAAGTGTTAACCATAAAACTATCAGTAAGCGGGGGCAGACTGGTAGTACAGAGGTAAAGTGTTTCCCTTGCACACAGCTGACCTGGGTTCAATCCTCTGCACCCCATATGGTCCCCCGACACTCACCAGGAGCAATCCCTAAACATAGATCCAGGAGTAAGCCTTTGTAAGGAGTAAGCTTTGCTGGTGCGGCTGCCCCCAAATCAAACCAAAACAAAAATAAAACTAGTGAGCACTTATGTTATGGTTATACTTCATTAAAAAAAGTATTCCTACGAATATAAATGGTAAGATGATTGGGATTCTAAAATAATTTCTTTGGGGTTGGGGGCATAACAGCAAGGTACACACTTCACGTATGTGAGATCCCAGCACCAAAAAACAATACAATTCTTCAACTAGAAAAGTCACACACAACAATAAAAAAAAATTGTAATACGTGATAAGGATTAATAGCATACAAAAGCTCTTCTAATTTATTAAGGAAATATGGAAATCCTTCTCCCAAACGTAAAAGAGGCAAGAAAGATGAATAAGTAATTCACTAAAATATGCAAATGACAGAACTGAAATGACTTTCTATTACTAATCACAGAGACAAGATCGCCGTCTCATCAGACCAGAGACGGAAATGACTGCGAAAGCCGAGCTTTAACAGGAGGGTGGAAGTGAATCCTCACAGCCTACAGGCAGGAAGAAATCCTGTGAGGCTAATCTGATGTCAAGGATCAAGAGTCTGAGGGGCTGGTGTGATAGAACTTGATAGGGACTTGCTCTGCAGTGGCCAACCCTGGTTTAATTCCCAGCATCCCATCTGGTCACCCGAGCTCACAAGGAGTGAATCTTCTTCTTTTTTTTTTTTTTTTTCTTTTTGGGTCATACCTGGCATTGCACAGAGGTTACTCCCGGCTCATGCACCATACACTCAGGAATTACTCCTGGTGGTGCTCGGGGGACCATATGGGATGCTGGGAATCGAACCCGGGTTGGCCGCGTGCAAGGAAAACGCCCTCCCCGCTGTGCTATCGCTCCAGCCCCAAACTTTCCAATTCTTGATCCAGCAATATCACTTTTAGGAATTTATTCTAAAGAAAGAATTAAGGATGCGGACAAGATTTCCTTCTAACATGTTCACTTCTAACATGGAACTCTTTTCCTGTTGATGAAACTGGAATAATCTAAACCCAAACATAGAACTGGTTAATCAGACGGTGATGATCCCAGTGAGAGAATCTCGAAGAAACTATTTAGACCTACAAATGCAGGCATGGGGAGACGTCCTGGTATGGATGACACAGCGGCAGCCTAGCCGGCAAGACACGATTCACTCCCATGGGGGCTTGGTTTGGTTCTTGGGTGCTCAGGGGGTACTCCTGGGGGTGCCTGGGGACCACAGAGTGCCAGGGGGCAAGTTCAGGTCCCCGGCATGTGACGCACCTGCTCCAGCCCTTGGCATGTGGTCCCAGCGCCATCACTAGGGGCTCCAAGGGGCTGAGAGCCGGTCTCCCCACATGCCAATGTCACAACCTAAACCCCAAATCATGGCAATTTGTCTCTGTGCTACATCCAGCAGTGCTCTGGGCTTAGCCCTGGCTCTGTGCTCAGGGCTCACTCCTGGGGGTTCTCGGGAACCGTCTGTGGTGCTGGGGATCAAATCCGGGTGGGCGGTGTGCCACCATCTCTCCGCGCCCCCACCCCCAGTGTTTTATCCTTTTTGTTTGTAGAATATTCCCAGCAGTTCTGGGGGCCACCCCGAGGGGTGCGCTCGCCCCTGGCACTGAGGTGAGTTAGAGGATGGGGCTCTGGGAGGTGGTTAGGGTGGGGATGCAAACCGTCCCAGTGGAACGAGGAACCACGGAAATGAGCCATTGTCCCTCTAGTCACACACGTGAGGCAGAGGACAACAGTCGCCGGGGAGCCAGGTTGAGTGCACAGGGGCCCCTGTGCTCACACTGAGAGTCGCCAGCGTCCTGAGTGGCGAGCCTGCCTGGGGCCTTCCAAGCCCACTGCATTAGATGGGGCAGGCACGGGTTCGGGGGCGGCCGCCTGCACTTGCATAGGAAGCACAGACGCATCCAGAGAACCAAGAGGCCCAGCTCACCCCGGCATTGCGGTTTCCTGAAGGAAATCCCTATGCGGCTCCCGAGGGTGCTGATGAGAGCCCACGCCCAGGCGGACATCGGGACCCTCTCACCGCCTGCTATGCGCGCTCAGAAGCCTTTTCAAGAGAACAGTGAAGCTGTTTTACCAAGCTTTATGGCCGACCCAGCCAGCGACCTGGAAAATTGTTCATAATTGACATTAAATCTTAAAAGCAGGTCGCAAAGCAGCATGTACACTGCGTTATTCCATCCAACTGGGGAAAAAAGAAGTGAAAGGAAGAAATATCTAGGGCATCAACAAAACACTGGAAGACGCCAGCCCTGGGCTATGGGTGGGGCGTGGGGCTTGGGGCTTGGGCCAACCTGGAGGGGCTCAGGGGCTGCTCCTGGCTCGGTACTCTGGGATCACACTGGTGGTGACCCCCAGCTCCGCGAATGACTTATCCTATTTTTCCTTCCATTTTCTTATTTTCCCTTTTCCTTTTTTTTTTTTAATTTAGGCCTCATGATCTACCAAGTTGTTTATACTAAGGGCTATAGGCATACAATGCTCCCACCTCCAATCCCACATCCTGTGACCCCACACCTCCACCAATGACTGCAGGTCCCCTCCCGTTCCCCGTTGTTTTCTTATTTTTCTGTAACGAATGAGCATTCTTTCTTACGAAGCACATCAGGCCAGGACTATGCGAGACTCACAGGGCTTGCTTGTTTCCTCCTTCTTCTTTTGAGAAGAGGTTTCATTATGCATCTTTTTTTTCTTTAATTTTTTTATTTTTATTAGTGAGACACCATGAGGTACAGTTGTAGACTTAAAAATTTTTGTGCATGGGTTTCAATTATACAATGATCAAATACCCAAATACCCATCCCTCCACCAGTGCCCATTTCCCACCACCACAGATCCCAGTATCCCTCCCACCCCCCACCCTGCCTCTGTGGCAGGGCATTTCCTTTTGTTGTCTCTCTCCTTTAGGGCATTATGCATCTTTTTGTTGTTGTTTGTGAGCCATCCCCGGCAATGCTCAGGGGTTTCTCCCCTGAGGAATAAGTCCTGTCAGTGCTCAGGGAACACTGTGGGATGCCGAGGATTGAACCCGGGTCAGCCATGTGCAAGGCAAACACCCACCCCGCTGTCCTACGGCCCCCCTTATGCATCTTCTTAAAAGGTGGCAATGAGGCTTCACCGGGGCCTCGAGCACATACCAGATTATCGGCTGACGACAGGGACTGCCGGTCATCCGCGATGCCATTGGTCTGGGAGTTCTCGTCCACGCCGGGGGGCACGGCGCACTCCTGGTACTCCAACTCGCCGGGTACCCTTTCGGGGTCTGACAGACTGTGCTTCTGGGCGGCTTCTTCAGACACAAACACGAAAGTCACCTCCATGTGAGGACTTACTGGAAGGCAGCCCGTCCCAGGAAGTGCCTCCCCGGAATTCCCAGCCCCGCTCCCTCCCGCTGGCCAAGAGAGGGGCCTATTCCCAGGGAGGTCTCATCACTAGGGTCTGCACAGCTGTGGGATACAGCAGCCCTGTCCACCCGCCCAATGCTGCAAAGACACATTTTCATTTATTCTTTTCTCCTGCAGGGCCTTATCCGGTGGAGCTCAGGGAACCAGGCAGTGCTGGGGATCAAACCCGGGTCGCCTGTGTGCAAACTGTATGTCTGGTCATTGAGCCATCTCTCTTCTAGAGCCACGAGCCACGCTGGGGTGTGGGTCAGTGGCAGAGCACATATCTCACCTGCAAGGCCGTGGATTCAATCCCCAGAATTATTAAAAAAAAAAAATATTTTTAAATGATAGGTCACTGTCACTGTCCTCCCGTTTTTTCATTGATTTGCTCGAGCAGGCCCAGTAACGTCTCATTGTGACACTTGCTACTGTGTTTGGCATATCGAATATGTCACAGGTAGCTTACAAGGCTTTGCTGTGTAGGCAGGATACTCTCGGTAGCTCGCTGGGCTCTACGAGAGGGGCAAAGGAATTGAACCCGGGTCGGCTGGGCCGGCTGCATGCAAGGCAAATGCCCTACTGCTGTGCTATTACTCCAGTCCATAAATACAGAAAATACACATTTCAGAAAACAATGTTTAGCTATCTATACAAAAAGTCAGACTTGATTCAATTTTAGTTCTTTAAAAAACAACAACAAATGCTCGGGCCGGAGAGATGGGACCAGGGTTAAGGCACTTGCCCTGCAGATGGCCAAACCTGGTTCGATCCCTGATACCATGTATGGATCCCTGAGCACTGCCAAGAGTGATCCCTGAATCAGGTAGTAAGCCCTGAGCACTGCCGGCTGTGACTCCAAGATACCCTCACCCACCCCCCCCCCAAAATGCTGATTACAACCCCTAAATAAGTGATTTCTCAACCCAATCAGTCTTTCGGCCTTTTGGCACTGAAACTGAGCGTTCAACATCCAGAAACGGACCCTTCCCCTCCAAAAAAAAAATACTGTAAAAGCAATTCTGAACTATACAAATTTAATTCCACCAAAACCACACCGAGAAATTGAGATGGGTTATGAATAAAGTCTGACCCAATGAACAAAGCTTCCTTGCCCAGGGCCTATCCACCAGACCCGTGACTGGCCTGAAGGAGTCAGCAGTGATGGTCTCATCTCAGGCTCGATGCCCACTCTTGAGAAAGTCTTGGAAAAACACAGAAGTGGCCAACAGTGTCTCCACATGGAACAACCAACTCTAACACGGCCTGACTCTGTGTGTGTGTGTGTGTGTGTGTGTGTGTGTATGCACGCACACACATGCATGCATGCATAAGGGCCAAGGGCTAAACCCAGGACCCCACAGAGGCAAGGCCTGCGCCCTACCACTGAGTCACATCTTTGGCCCCAGATCATGTGTCCTGACAGGGTGCCAAGTGGTAATAAAATCCATCACTGAAAACAAGTCACTCTGAACCCAGCTGAGAGCGAGCCATGAGCTGAACTCTTCTCCATCAGTACTCAGCTCTGTGGCCAGGCCTTCGATGGGAGAATGAGGTCGAAAGCGAGCCGGGGCTCCTGGTTCTTACCTTTAATGGCAGATGTGACCACATCTTCTAAGATCTCCTTCACCACTTCCTGGGCTCCGTCGCTGGTCTCTACACAAACACCCAAATACAAAAAAAAAAAAAAAAAAAAAATCAAGCATACACTCGCACGGGCATTTCCAGAGAAAATAAAGGCCCAAACGGTAAATCAATGTTCCCTGGGGCCCAGCGCAAGCGGCAGAGGGAGCCCAATGGTCCTCTGCGGGCCAGTGGCCCCATGTGAGCAGGTCTGGGTGACATCTGCTCCAATGGCCAGTGTCCCTCTGGGATGCAGACACTGACCCAGACATCTGCCCTCGGAGGCCACAGCCCCCACCGGAGCAGGAGGAGGCCTTTGCCCAGTCCACGTTCCCCGATCGTTGGGGACCGCTCTCTTGGGCCTGCACCTCAGGCCCCCGGGGCTCTGGGAAGAGGCCTGCGTGTCTCCTGCTGCCCTCTGCTGCCCTTGGTCTCGCAGGGGACTTCTGAGGGGCTGGCTGTCATCACTAGGTTTCAGGGGGAATCCTTCTATAAGATGCTAAGCCCCCCGCTGTTCATGTGGAAGGCCGGATACAGGAGAGCTTATAAAGAGCCCTGGACTAGACTTTCAGAACGAACCCTTACTGGCTCAGCAAAACACTGCACAAATCCAAAAAGGCCTCCTATGAAATAAACAGGACCAAAATCACCCTGCGATTCTGTCTCAGTACGGAGTTTCAAGCAAGACACGACTCTAATGGGATCTCAATTCACTAGGTCCCAGAGAGCAGAACAAAATATTTCCACTGCCACAGAGCACTTCACTTAATCACTTAACTTCCCGTTAGTCGTCGATTTGCTCGAGCGGGCGCCAGTAACGTCTCCATTTGTCCCTGCCGTGTGCTAGTGTAGCCCAATGGCATCTGTTCGCTCTGGGAACATAAAGAGCCTCAAACCGATCGTTCATGATCTTGACGAAGAAGTCTGACCATCTGGTAGGTGGCAGCCACGCGGTCTTTTGACATCCCGTGGAATCCAGTCGGTAACAGCTCTAGTCCAGCGGTCGTCTTTAAATATCATTACGTGACCAGCCCATCAGAGCACTTAACTTTGGAGTAATGATTTTTTTAAATCTACTCCCCCAGCTTCATCCAAGGTATAACTGACCAATGAAACCACCAAAAAAAATTTTAAATGGAAAATGCTGCTCTATGCTGTTTTTACCTTGCAAAAGCCCTCCCGTTGATCGTCGATTTGCTCGAGCGGGCCCAGTAACGTCTCCATTGGAGACTTTGTTGTTACTGTGTCTGGCATATCGAATACTCTCGGTAGCTTGCCGGGCTCTCCGAGAGGGGCGGAGGAATCGAACTCGGGTCGGCCATGTTGGCCGCTTGTAAGGCGAACGCCCTACCCGCTGTGCTATCGCTCCAGCCCAAGCAAGATAAATTTTTGCTGGAAGAAACTTGAAAGATTTCAGGAGGTGTTGGGGGCAGAGAAGGAAAGGAATACGTGGTCCAAAGAAACAAGGGCAGGCCCAGAGCAACAGTACAACTGCAAGGGCATCTGCCTTGCACGCGGCTGACGTGGGTTTGATCCCTGACTTCCCATAGGGTCTCTCAAGCACCATCACATGTAATTCCTGAGTGGGGAGCAGGAGTAATCCCTGAATATCACCCTCCAAAAGCTCAAAAAGCCAAAAAAAAAAAAAAGGAAGGAAGGAAGGAAGGAAGGAAGGAAGGAAGGAAGGAAACATGGGCATCACCAGAGTAGAAAAAACAATCAAACAGAAGTGACACGCAAGTGACAAACATGTTCAAGGGAGAACACAAACTTGAAGAGCAAGCCTGTTAAATGCTTTAAGGGTACAAAAATTAAAAAAAAAAAAGAACCCAACTAGAACAAAGTGCACAGCCATCTCCTAAACATGTTTCTTCAGCTAAATCAAATGAATGACGGTGTGTATGTTTCAGCCATTCTCTGGCCTTCTTCGTCGTCACTTAGATATCTAACATATATTTACAACAAATGCATGTATACAGCCGTGCTCTCTAATTCACCACGGGAACTAGTCATCACAAAAATCGCAGGTTTAACATGCTAATTATACTCTGGATGCATGTTAAAATGCACGTCTGGCTACGAAAGGGCTGCCTGCTTCAATCGAAAGCCCCTGAAATGATCTCACGGGCACACATCTCTGGGTACGTTCTTGTTCCTGCCCAGGCTGAGGGGTTGTCTGACACGATGACTTAGTAAAATGATGACGCCTGTTTCCAAAGTCTACTATGTCCTCCACGGCCCCACGCGAACACTTGACCCGCACAAATTATCGGCCTGGGAAGGGACACAATTCATTCAGGAGGCCCCGGGAACACGATGCATACACTGGGCTCCACCGGCTCAGGTACAACCAACAATTGACAAATGTATGTTTAAGGGGCTGATGTCTTTTTTTTTTTTTCCGCTTTTTTTGGTCACACCCAGTGATGCTCAGGGGTTACTCCTGACTCTGCACTCAGGAATTACTCCTGGCAGTGCTGGGGAACCATATGGGATGCCGAGGATCGAACCTGGGTCAGTCACACGCAAAGCAAACACCCTACCCATTGTGCTATCGTTCTGGGCCCCTAAGGCCGATGTCTTGATGACGAGATGCATAGGTGCACGGGGCAGTAACCACCACATTCAAGCCCACGAACGCGTCCCTCACCCTCACACAGTCATTTTCTTCTTCGGGGACGGCGCTCCGCTCTCAGCAGCCCTCCCCTTCCAGAAAGCAGTGCTGGACACTCACTCTCCCGAACCAACAGCCCTCCCCGAAGCTGTCTGGGCCTTTACACCATTTATTTTCCCACCCATTCCTTTGTCTCTATGAACCCAACTGCTTGATGGCCCAGTCTCTGTGGAATCCTGCACTTGTCCTTTTGCGACGGCGTGACGTCACTTTGCAAGGTGTCCATCTACGTGATTGCAAACAGCGAATTTCCTTGTTTTACTTTTTTCATTTGGGGGCCACGCCAGGGGATGCTCAGGGCTTATTCCTGGCTCTGTGCCCAGGGCTCAAGGCTCCGAGACCATATGGGAGGCCGGGGATAAGGACCCAGGCTGGCCGTGTGCAAGGCAAGCGTCCTGCTGGCTGTACAATTGCTCTGACCCCTTGTTTTTAAGCCGAGTAGTCCATTGTGTGCATCTGAGCACACATTTTTTCAGCCTATTCATCTGGGCATGGACATTTACGTTGATTCCAGTGTGAGTAATGCTAAAAAAAAAATGGGAATGAGTATCTATCTTTAAAAAAAAATTTTTAGTAGGGAAGTGGGTCACCCCTGAAGTGCTCATGACTTAACTCCTGGTTCTACACTCAGGGGATCGCTCCTGGCAGTGCTTGGAGAGTCATATCCAGTACCAGGAATCCAACGGGTCAGAAGCACCAGGGGTGAAGCGATAAGAAAGCAGGGAGGGCGTTCACACCTTGCACACAGCCAACATGGGTTCGACAGTCGGCATCCCAGATGGTCCCTTGAGGACCTCCAGCAGTGATTCCTGAGTGCAGAGCCAGAAGTGTGACCCAAACCTCTCCCCTCCCTGCCCCACACCCCTCAAAAAAAGAAGTGTGCAAGGAAAGTGCTTTAGCAGTTTTAGTGTACCATCTGTCTGACTTGCTACCTCTTTGAGATCCTGATTTCATTTCCTTTGAATCCATACCCCGGAATAGGAACGCTGGATCCGGCAGTAGTTTTATATTTTTAATTTCCTGGGAACCGCAATGCTGTTCTCCAAAGTGACTGCGCCAGCATGCATGGCCACCAATGGTGGGAGGGACCCGTTTCCCCACATCTCAACACTGACCCTTCAATCTGACAACAGACACCAACAGGTGCAGGGGGCATCTCGAGGCAGTTGTGCCGTGCCTGTCCCTGGTGGCCAGAGAAGCCGGTTTTTGTCTCCACTGTCCACCGGCATTCCTTCCTTGGAGAAATGTCCATTCGGCCCGACGCTCATTTTCCCCAGGGTCAGCTGCTTGTTTTCCTTTCCAGCTAATGAGCTGCGACTCCTTATCTGACACATGCTTTGCAAATGTCTTCTCTCCCTCTCTCTTTTCTTCCCCTGGTCCCGGGGCCACACCTGGCTCTGCTCAGGGACCGCGTGTACCTTAACCTTTGTAAGGTCTCTCCAGTCCCATGAATCATTTTCTCCCTTTCTAATAAGTGCAGTTAGGGAAGCTAACTTTTCCTAAAATTCCATCTCTATTACAAATACAGTAAAAGCAGGGCCCGGAAGGGGGTCATCTGCAGAGCTCATGTCTTCATGTGTGAGGCCCTGGGTGTGATCCCTGGCACAGCGTGCATGCACGCACACACACACACACACACACACACACACACACATTCAAACATACACTCACTCACACACTCACACACACATACTCACACACATAAACACACACTCACATAATACACACACTCTCCACATACTCTCACATATTCACACACAAACACACACACACACATACACATACACTCTCCACACACACACTCACAGACACACACACACATACCCCACTGTGGGGTGTGACTTACACCAAAAGAAAAAAAAAAGCCGAAGGCAACAGGGGCCAGGACTGGCTGGAATGAGCCGCCTTGGGTGAGGGCACAGACCCGAGAGCTATGCCGCTGCCTCAGTTTCCTGCTCCCACCGTCCCTCTGCCATGGAGGACAAGCGCAAACGCCTTCCAGGGAGACTCTGTCGCTCCAGCTGCTGACCAGGAATGCAACGTGCTCCTGGAAAGTCTCTGGAGGGGGGAGAAAAGTCTGACAAGGCGGCAGGCGGGTGTCGGGGGCACCGCCCTGTACCCAGACTCCAGCCCAGGATTCCCGCGTGCGGGCACATGCGCTGGTCCCCAGTCCCCTCCCTAGCCCAGGACAGAGTGTCTGGAGAAGGCAACAGAGATGGTCCTTGAAGGATGTGACGAAGTCAGGGGGTCCGGTGGGGCCGGCGAGGCTGGGCAGCTCCCAGTTCTGCCCAGGTGGGCCCCAGCGTGAACAGGGATGATCCCAGCTGCCCTAACCTCACAGAGAACCAACGGAAATGGT